ACAAGCTGTCAGAGAGCCCCTGGGCAAGGAGGGGACAACAAAGAACACACCATATAAGGAGAGGGGAAGGGATCAGCAGAGAAGTATAGCAGAGTAAGTAAAAGCCTCTGTTTGAGGCATCCCATAGACCTGGGTTTGAATCCTGGCTCTGCCACTTACTGTGTGATCTTGCACATATTACTTAACGTCTCTAAGCCACACACTCTTCACTGACAAAACGAAGATTCACCTCGTGGGGTGGCTGGGAAGATGAAAGTGAGATAACAACAGTGGTGCACTCAGCGTGGAGCCTTGTATATGGCAAGGAGCTCGATAAATGGCAGTTGCATAGTCATCGTGGCGATGACTGTGTTATCATAAACAGGACTGTGACTGTGAGCTGCTAAGGTGCTGACCACGTACCTTAAAGCAGGAGGGTGGGGAGGGCGAGAGGCTGCATTTCTAAAGCTGTTTCCACACAGCTTGTCCCTCTCCTGAGTCATGAAACAAAGTATTACATGTGACATCTCTCCCACCCCACACAGAGTAGTCTCAAAGATTATGAAATGATTATAAGTTATTGTTCTTGGAATTTACAAAGCTTTTTTTTTTTTTAAAGTACATTTCAAACTTTATTGATTAAGACACGATAATTCTATTTATATTCTAAAAGCCTGGCCAGAAGTTTGCTTTTTCAGTGCAGCTGGAAAACAAAAAAAAAAAGAAGGTTGCTAAGCCAGCACAAATAAACTTTCACATAGTCCCTTACTATTTAGGAGATTCAGCTTTGAGATATTTAGAAATGTCTTTTTTATACTGTATAAACCACTAGAATTTAGACAACAGCCCTTAGGCTAGGCTTTGATAGGTTTATTACAAATAATTCTAGTTCCAAATTCTGAATTAAAACAAAACAAAAAGACAGCAGCAATAACAACCTTCTCCCCAGGAGACAGACTCTGGAATGACGGCTCGGATTTCTCAGGAAGTTATCTGTTTCTTAATGTACATTGACATCTATGGGCAGAGCCTCCATCAGGTGCTGATCAGTCTTGAACACCTTTCTTTGAAAGGCATAAATCTTTTCTACATTAAGAAGGATGTGCGTAGAGCCCAGGGCCACCTAGTGGGAACACAGGGCCGGAGCAGCACCACGGACAGGGACTGAGGAGGACCTGCTGGAGCCCAGAGACAACATCAAAACCGCACATCATGGATCCAGAAATCCAAAGAATCTCCTGAAACTTTGAAAAACAAAGCAAAAAATAAAAACAAAACCCAACGAGTCTTTAAAATGATCTGGCTCAAACATTTTCCTCATTTAAAGCCTTTATCTAATTGAATACATCGGTGATCCTTGCCTGGATACGAGAGATGGAAGCTATCCTATTTTTAAAAGATCCCCGGGGAAGGAGACGTCTTAGAAATTTATATTAAAGTCTAATCATCTTGGTTATTATAAATTTATATCCAACTAAATTTTTCCTTTTTATTCTTTAAGACTATTTTTTCCATTTTGGCCTTTGAAAATAAAAAATAGTAAGGTCTGCTTCTAAATTATATGTGACAAGTTGTCATGTCAACCCTTTACTATTTATGCCTCTAGGCAAAATAGACCCAATTCCCTCTTGTACTGGATTTCATGTGTACCAAAGAGCAGACACTGTTGTCAGCTGGAGTTGCTGGGTGTGGTGGCTTATGACATGGGAGCTCTGGGAGTGAGGCCATGAAACCCTATCTTCAGACCGACAGCCAGGCTGACCCACAGAAGCTGCGGGCACTGCCTGCAACAGGCTGAGGGCAATCTTCCAGCCCAGCGGGAGCCACTGTGCCTCTCTACAGGACTTCTCCAAGCGGGCCTCCCTCTGCCTGTGTCTGTGGGACACTGTCCCTACACCAAATAGACTCTTGTTTGCAGTGAGGGGGTCGCTGATCAGAATTAAATCATCAAATGGAGTTTGAGCACTCAACATCTCATCCTAGAAGAGCATTTAATGGAATTTCTTCCTCTATACCCTGTCCACTCAACTTTTTCTGGCTCACTCATCCAAAGATCAGATAATCCCTGCTATCAGGGTAATTCTCAAGATGTTGCCCTCAACTCACCTTTTAGAAACTTCTTTGACACCTAGACTTTTTGCCCTAGAAAAGAATATCTCTTAGATACAAACGTGGCTGTCCTCCCCAGCAGGTGACAATTCCTGTCCGGTTCTTTCACAAAATGTTTTCCAGCTTGGCCAAAACCCTTATTTTCAAGAGATACCATCTCCCACCATGATTGAATCTTATACCTGGATACGTCTTTGGAAATTCCCTACCTAAAAGAGACACCCTGAGGGCCCATGACAAGAGGGGCCTGGTTATGAGTTAGTTGCAGGAATAAGAACCTGATAATTTTTCTCTTGTTGACAGCTGGTAGGAGGTAGACCTGCCCATCTGCCTTAATGACTCAGCTTCCCTGAGTCACTGCCCAACCACAAGCATCAGGTGACCACCCAGATAAAAATCCCTGGGTGACTGGGTATGGGCAGCTTTTCCCAGAGCCCCACATGTTCAAAGCATTATAACTAAGCTGGCTACTCCATTCATCATGTAAACCCTAAGGGAATAGGATTAAAATACCATCTGGATAGACTTTGGTTATACAGTCAGCCAAGAGCAAGACACCACCACAAAACACAAGGTTAGGGGGAAGCAAATGATTGGGAGACAGCCCTTAGCCACCAGGAAAAACCCCAAGGTGAAAAAGAAAGTAACAGCACCAGTACAAAGAGAGGCACACGGTTTCCTTTAATTACCTTCAGACTTAGGACTAGGAGTAGATGCAGGAAACTGGTAGGTAGGAGTGTAAGGATTGTCCTCTGTAGCAGAGAAAAGCAGTGGATTTTGAAACTATCCACCATGAAGTGGAGGAACTGACAAATCCCCAACTGATTCTTTCAAATGATCGATTACATATTTTAGTGTTATTAAAGCACATGGGCATCACACTTGAAAACGGATTAATGAATTAGAAAGGGCTTAGTTATTTTAATATAGCACATCATGCAAATGAGTGAAATAAAATTTTCACCAACCAAAAACGACTATGAAAACAAAATCTAAAAGCCAAATCTTAGGCCTATAATGGAACTATAAGAATTAATTTAAGGCTAGGACAACAGATAGACTGTCTAAGTTTGTGGTACCTTCAGAAGTTGGCTGGATTTCAGGAAGTTCAGGGAATTTGTACGTAGGGAAATAAGGGTTTTCTTCAGGAGTGTCTAGGCAGAGGAGGTTTGAGAGAGAATAGAGGAAGATACAAATGGAGAGAATGAACGAGTAGGATTCCACATACAATTTAAGCTCCTTGAATTCTGGTGGTATGAGAGAAATTCAAACTGCTTTTAAAAATCCAGTCCTTTTGCCTGAATTACTGAGACACATCAAACAAGATGATATCATTACTCTTCGTGGACAAAGAATTACACATAAACAGGCACCAATGGGCAAAAAGCATTTAGGACAAAGCTTGAAGTTTTCACTTTACATAAGCAAGACATATTAAGTATGATAAGAAATAGTATGTAATAAAAAGACTACCCTAAAATAATTTTTGTTTAAAACAAGGTCTGTGTTGTAGACATTAGAATCAAGGCAAACAAGTGGATTCTTAATTTTTTAAATGCCTCTGCCTAACATTAAGGCAGATGGTTTTGTTTAGAACATGTAATTTAGGTTAATAACATGAGAAAATCTGTGGGGGAGAATTACATATTTTGCATGTATGCATGCACCTGTGTCTCTGCATGTAAGCTTCCAAAGCTAGGTCTGAAGGTGAGAGAGTCACAGATTGTTTAAGGAAATGGAGAGCAGATTTGGGAAGTGACCAGCGAGTGGAAGAGACCCCATCTGATCACAGAGATCCGAGCATTTAGTGTTGCCGCTGTGACTGAGCTCACCCAACCAAGCATAGCAGATTTACTCTTGACTCAAAAATGCTAAACACTCAAACAGTTTGAAGAGGGGCATGCTCAAGTTCACTTTGAACCCAGCAGGAGTTAATTAACAGTGATGTTAGTAGCATCCACAGCTAACCAGAGAGATTGGGCTCAGGTGGAACGCTGACCAGACCACTTTTTCTTTGCCTTCATGTGTCATCCATGCCAGGCGGCCAGACTGGATTTGGGCACAGGGAAGGACAGGATGCTCTGCCTGCAGGAGGGGTGGTACCCCTCCCACAGTGCAGGCACATCGCTGCCTGTCAGTGGGCTGGAGGCACAGGGGGCGATGGGAGCTGGTGGGGTCATGACCTGCCCGAGCACTGGCCTCGTGTTCTCCCACCATGCTGGGTCACCTGCTGACAGCCCCGTGGGCCTGTGATTTGAAAGCATTTCTCTTTCAGCTTGCGCGGGCTCTGGTGTGGCAGCTCTTGACTGACTCTCAGGGCTACTTGCCGAGCGCTGGCCCCCAGCCGGGGAAGATTGTTTTTCATACTAACACAGCCTGAGAGGCACACTGTGCATTGTACCTTCACAAGGCCAAGTGTGTTCTCCTTCAGGCCTGGCACATCCCTTGGAGGAAGGGAAGCAGACACACACAGAGAGGTACAGGATTGGCCCAAGGTCACATCAGTGCTTGGGGGGACTGAATCTAGGTCAGAATGGCTTTCCTGATTCCTAGTTCAGTGCTTTCTCAACTCACTCTGCCCACAAGGCAGTCATGAGCTGACACAGGGCGATGTACCTAAAGCCGGAAGCTGGTGGGAGCTGGAGCTGCTCACATCCCAGGCAGACAGATGCCAGCGCACAGGCAGGTGCTGGGCTCAGCCTGCCGCATTCCACAGCCTCCGGGAGGGAGGACCTGAGCGCCCCCTCCCTCCTGTGCTCTGAAGGCTCATAGCGGTGCTCAGGCAGACCAGTACTTAATGGGGTACCTGTGGGACCCAGTCGTCCAGCACCCTAGAAAAGTGAGTTCAGGCCTGCGCCACAACACTCACTACATGGGTACACAACACAGCTTCTACAAACGAAAATTAGTACCTCTGTTTAGTTTGTGGATCTGTTTAAACATAGTCTTGTACCAGTCTTTTGATCTCTCGGTGTTCTGGAGAAAAACAAAGGCAAAGAGTAAAATAAAATGGAAATCTTGGCATGCTTCAGACCTTCTGAAATGATTATAAAATAAAAATAAAACGGCGTAAGTGAGAACATCTGAATTCAAAACTCAATCACATTCGTATCATTTCTAAAAAGGCAAAACTTTTGAGAAACAAGAGACAAACTAAGAGATTCAGACCTGAATGCAGAGCGATATTTGGCTGAAAGGATGCAGATTTTAAAAACAGTGGACAAGGATCCACTTGAAATGTATCCGTTCTTAATGTTTTAAAATTTCATTTTTAGGGAGAATCTCCCTCCATATGTAGACTACGCCAAACTGAAGTCTCCTAAAAACATAAGGGACAAAGAATTCTTGCTTATTATGCTGTGTCCTCACTCATGCTAGGTTATTCTGTAGAAATGTGTCTAAGTCACCTTGCACAGGGCCAGATTTAGAATGCATACATTAAAACATAACTCAGTATAGCATCCAATGCCAGAGTTTTCATCCTAACCACAAAGTTGGGATGGCTGGGTTTTGTTTTTTTTTTTTAAGATAAAAATAAAACAAGGAAGGTGACAGGTGGTTAGTGCAGATATTCTAATTCCCACTTTACAGATGAGGAAATGAGATACAAAAAGACAAAGCAAATCACGCAAGGTCACAGAGCTGGCGAGGAGAGTGGAAGGGCCATATGACACGATGGTTAAGGGTGCAGGTTTGGGAGCTGGACAGACAGCTGTCACACACAAGTTGTACAATCTTGGGCAAATAATGCGATCCCTCTAAGTCCATTTCCTCATCTATAAAATGAAAATGACATTAATATCCACCACTCAGGTGGTGATGTTTAAATGAGATAATGTCCTCAGCAAATGGTAGCTGTGACTACTCTTAATAATTCTCTTTCTATATTACTACGTAGGAGAAGAGAAGAGCTCTTTCGAGGCTTAGCCCATTGACCTTTCTACTAACCTCCACCAACAAGGGCACATTTGCTAAATGGAAATCACAGAGGAACATATTGCAGCCAGTGGTCTGGGGGACACATGGAGAGAAGTGGAATTCACCTGAAGCCAGTTCCAAAAGCCGGGCTTCCCTGGAATTCCTTAGGGGCCTGCAGGGGAACAGCGGGGACAGGGCTGCCACGAGACCTGCTCTGTCCGGGAGGCTTGGCTGGCTGGATTCCTTCCGAGGTTTCCTTAGAGTTTCCTACTCACTCTGGATGAAGGGGCCTCTCTCATCCAAGGGGATCTTCTTCCCAAACCCCTAAACAGGGACCCAGGGCCTCATACTCTCCCCAGGGTTCTCTGACCCCAGACCAAGAATTTCTGAACATGCTCCACAGAACCACAACGAAGGAAGACTGCCCATAACATTGTCTCTTGAGCACTCAGAAGTTCTGCAGCAGAGAAGTATCTCTTAGTTCCACCCAGCTTCTCCTCATATTCATTTGACCATGAAACCCTTTTTCCGAAGACGTATCATACCCGACACCTGCTTTGGGAAAAGCTGCTGTGCCCCACGTCTGGGGCACGGCTCCTGGGGCTCTGGCACTCAGGGGCCTGCAGAGCTGATGGCGTGAGGCCCTCCCTACAAGGTCTCTGTAGCCCACTGATGGGGTTCACGTGTACACTTGTCACGGCTTGTTTGCAATGGAGACTGAAAAGGGCTTCTAGGTCAGTATTCGTACCCGAAGGGGGATGCCCACTTCATCCATGGAAACATCGCTCAGGTCCTGAGCGCTCTTAACCACCCTCCTGCTATCATCCTTTGCTTTCTTTTCAGCAGCGCTGCCAGGTGAGGTGGGTTTTTCCTGGGTTGGTGCCAAGTCCTGCTCGCCCACTCTTCTTTCTGAGGCAGGATCTGGAAATGAGAAGCAATCGTTAGCTGAAGTTCTTCTGGTAGCTGCAAAGCAAAAAAAACGCCTAAGCAAAAAAACTCCCCCAGTCCAGCTGTGGGAAAGTGTGTTTGCTAATTCTCCATAGGAACTAGTTCCGCTTAAAGCAGGGTCAGCAAACTACGGCCCACCAACTGTTTTTGTAAGTCGAGTTTTACTGGAACACAGCCACACTGATTCATTTACATATTATTTATGGTGGCTTTTACACTACCAGGTCTGAGCTGAGTAGCTGTGACAGAAACCGTATGGCCTGCAAAGCCTAAAATATTTATCATTTAGCCCTTTAAAAAAAGTTTGCCTATGGCGTGAAAGTGCCATGCAGAGGTGTGCGCAAGGTGCTCTGGACATCTGAGTAGTTCTGACTGTTCTAGACATTGAGGGAGCAGGCAGAATCACAAGGAGGCAGCCAAACGTTAATTGAAAATTCTTGTTTTCTCTTGGGGAAGTCACTTAATTTTTCTGTGACTCAGTTTTCTCATCCAAAAGTAGGGATAACACTTCTGCCAGCAAGCTCACAGCAATGTCGAGAGAGAACTTATCAAGACAGTTTATGCCGAAGTGTTCAGAAAGCCGTATATCACTAAGTACATATTATAAATTATTTAATTTGGTTCAAGACTGGAAGTTATAGAGAGCTAATAAGCATACCAGATGTAATTTAGTGATTATAAAATTGCATAACAGAATCTGTTATTCCAAGCCGCATCATTTATTTACTGGAGAGGCATTTGCTAAGCACAGGGCACTGTGCTCTGCCCTGTGGACAGGAGGGTGAACATTTGAGCATCCTGCCTTTAGGGAACTTACAGTGGGCAGAAAGAGCAAGGGAGCCAGCAATGAGAATGCAGGATGATGAGCGCCGACTTCTCAGAGAAGCCAACCAGACGAGCAGGAGGGAAGGGTGCTCCTGAGGAGGGACGGCCCAAGCAAACACGTGGGGGGCTCTGAACAGCTCTGAGCTCATTATGTGCCAGGCACTGTGCGAAACTCTTCATATACCTTGCTTCATTTCATCCTCCCAATAACTCTATGAGGAAGAAATTATTATTGCCTGCCCCGCTTTTTTTTTTAGATAAAGGACCGAAGCACAGAGACATTAAAGTACCCTGTGAGAGGTCACACAGCCAGCATGTGGCCAGGTGGGGACTTAGTCTAGTGTCCACCTGACCCCAGCAGTCCTCTCTGATACATCCTGTCTCGCGTCCCTCAAAGACGGCACCAAGGCTTCAGGTCTGGGAGCCTGGCCTAATCCAAACAGAGAAGTTAAGAAAGGGAACTGAGTGGGGAAGGGCGGGAGAAAGGACTGTTTCCAGTTACACCACAGTAACTCTGAGAGGAGTGAGACACGCAGCAGAAATGCCCTAGAGACGCCTGGAAGAGATATGGAGGGGGCCCAGGTGCAATGCCCGGACAGAGGTGCAATTTCAGAGGCATCAGCACAAAAGTGATGGCTGGTGTCAAGGAGATGGCAGAGCTCAGTGGCAGAGAAAAGTGAGGGCAGAGCCAAGCACTGACATCAGGCACTGAGGGAAGCCACAGTTGCAAGCTGCAAGGCAGAAGAATCCCAGAACACATGCGAGAGTCATCCAAGGGACACGAGCGGAACCAGGAAAGTACAGCAAGGTGCCACCGAACCAGGGAGGCAGAATCCCAAGTGGGTGGTTAAACGTGTCAAAAAAAAAAAATTCAGAAATTAAAGCAGAGGAGGTGGCAGGATTAGGCAACAGAAAAGTCACAGGAACATTCTGAGGGAGCAATTTCAGGAGGGCAGTGGGGGTGGGGGCCAGATTGCAGGGACCAGGATGAACGTGTGAGCAGGAAGCGGGGCAGGAAGTGGGGAGTTCAGCATGGAAGAAGGAAGGTGTCAGAGAGGGCAAAAGATTAGGGGGCAAAAAGGTTTAAGCCAGGGGAGCTAAAGTCCCATCGGCGAAGCCCCCGAGGTGAGAATGGAGGTGTCGAGATGTGCCCTGTCAGTCAACAAGTGCTCAATAAATATCTGCTGAGTGACTGAGGGCAGCTTGTCATCTCTGAGAAAGGATAGGTGCAGAGCGCTGGCTAGGGGACTACGCTTGGGCAAAAAGGAGGGACCCAAGGGCACCTGCAAAGTTGTGACATCATCAGAGGCTTCTGTGTGGGGAGGGAGCTGGGGAAGTTGGGGAGACAATGGGGTCAGCACACTCAGGCTTTACGACTCATTCTACTCAATGGCGTGACTGCCCAAATGTCAATCTAACTTCTAAATGGTTTCTTAGCCTGTGCGTGGTTCAGAAAACCTGACACCTCTCATCACCACCGTAGACTTTAAAGGATGTTAAGACCAGACTGGCTTTATGGGATGAGTTCTCATGCTCCCAGGAAATTCCAACACAGGGCTGAGGATCTGGCAGAGGGTCTACCCCTTAGTACGGCTGCCGTGGTTCTCCTCGCGCTGGAGAGACCCTCACGTGTGATCAAGGAGAGGCGAGGCTGATTTCAAGCTAGTTTCATACGGCCTTGGAGGTGCTCACTCTCCTCCTGATATACGATGATGAAGATCACAGACATGCCATGCTCAAGGTTTCCAGACCCAGAGTAAATAAAAACAAATGATTAAAAACAACCAACCTCGGACAGGGCCTGTTTGTAGGAGGTGGGACAGCTGCCCTTTTCATCACACCAGACCCTGGTGCCTGGGGATTACAGCAATGATCACACGTTCCTGGGACAGGGAGTGGCCTCTCGACCCCCCACGACAGTCCCTCCTTCTCAGTCCTTTCTTGTTATCCTGTCTCTCCAAGGGGGCCACGAGCCGCGTGAGGCCAAACACCACGCAGGCTTCAATCCCTGATGACTCATCGAGCATTAAGCTCCACAGAAACTTAACAAACTCTGCTGAAGGGAGGGTGGCTGGTGGTCTTGGAGTCCTATCACCGCAGGTGGCAGCAAGCCTTGCCTGCTCCACAGCACGGAGACTGCAGAGTGCCAACCCAGCCAGCCCCCGCGGAGGGCGGCAGCATCATGCCTATCTTGGAGATGAGGAACTGGCCTGAGCCCGCCCCGCACGGTGGAGCTGCCCTCACATTTACAAGGCCTTTTCCAAAATGCAAAGCATCCTCCTCCTTCCTGTCACATATGACACCTCCTCCAGCCAGGGGCAGGGACTGTCACCCCCATTTCCCACATGACAAAACTGTGGCTCAGAGAGGTGAAGTCACTCACCAGGGGACAAACAGCTCTAAGAAGGAAAAGCTGGGACAAACTCTGGGTCTCCTAACCTTTTTCATCCATTTCACCTTTCCTTTCATCTCCCACAGGCAGGAAGGGGCCGGCGGGAGCTACTTTTCTTTTCGGAGCCACCATGTTCTCAGCAACCTGGGCTGGGGCCAGGGAATGAAGGGGGCTGGAGCACGGCAGCTCGAGGAGGGACAGCCAAGGGCACCTTGAGCTCAATCACAGCCTGTCTTGGCCCCAAGGACAAGGCCTGATAAAGCCGAGTGTAGGAACCCTGTGCCCTCCTGGGCTCACCACGAATCACAAGGACAACAGTGGGATGAAGTCACACAGAAATCACATAGCAGCTGCTCAGAAATGGTCACTTTTCTTATCCACCCAATCAGGGGTTCTTAACCCTGGAGTCCGTAAGTATCTGCAACTCCACGTAAATCACGTGCACATGCTTACACAGGTGTGGCTTTTTCTGAAAAATGAGTCTACAGCCTTCGCTAGATTCTCCCAAAGAGTCCATGACCAAACAAAGGCTACAAACTGTCACACTACACTGTTAGCTGCTCAGGGCAGCACAGGTCCCTGATGCAGCCCCAGAGCCTGGCTCGGTGCTGGACACAAAGGAAGCACTCAACGAAATGACCAGAGAGCCCGCAAGGCTCCTCCTGGTAACAGTCAGTCACACCTATTAAGCACTTAGAGGGGCTGAAGCTCAGTGCTAAGCTGTTTAACAGCAGAATCCCATGTGATCTTCACATAACCAGGGAGGCGCTACTGCTTTCCCCACTTGACAGATGAGAAAACTCAAATCCAGAGACATTAGATAACCTGCCTAAGGCGACACCCACTGTTAGCGAGTGGTATAGCCAGGATTCAAAGCAGAATGGCTACAGGAAGCTGTAGGGAAAGAGCTAAGCATTCCCTTTCCTGGGCTCCCACTCCACCCAACACTGCCCCACCCTGCATGTTACCAAGGAGGACCGTGATGCCTGGTTGTACGTGCGTCTCTCTGTGGTCACCACCGAGGGCACCGCCGGCATCCAGGGGAGCTGCTCAGAATTGCACCTTTTCGCCCACACCCACTAAATCCAAATCTCTGGGGTGTGGCCGAGGAATCTGAGTTTTGACAAGCTCTCCAGGAATTTCTGATGCTGGCTCAAATTCAAAAAGCAGTTTTCTCCCACTCTCTTCCAGGCGCTGCTGGTCTGAAGGCTCTTACCTGGTCCCATCACCCCAGGGTCATCTACGGGCAGCTGGGCTTGCCACCCAAAGAGGAAAGAACTTGCCCACGTTTCCCAACACCTGACTCATCACAGCCTAGAAAGGAGACAGAAGCAGCAGAAGAGACCTCTTCAGAGAGGCTTGCCATGAACACTGCATCTGACACAGGACTCCTTGTTCTCTACCCAGAACACTCGGTTCTTACCCATCGAGGCACTTATCACAGCTTCATGGAACACGTTTACTAGTTTGGGTCACTCGTCTGGTCTGTCCACCAGCCTGCAAGCTCCAGGGAGGCAGGAACTACGCCTGTTTCATCACCTTAGTAGTCCAGCCACCAGCATAGTCCCCAACACATCAGAGAAGCTCAGAAGATTTTTCTGATCAAACACTGAGTGGTGACCAGAAGATGGTTTTAATAGGAACCTGGGTTAACATGTAAATAAATATTTCCACACCTACCTGAAAGGCTACTGAGACGTTTTTGCTGTTCTGTGATAAAAGAAAAGAACACACAGTGTGAGTGAGAGTTACACAGCACGTAGTAAGACCAAGAATTCCTGGCCTAACTAGTTAGGACCCCAATTCTGTGTCCTCACTGTCCTCTGGGCTTAGATGCTACAAAGTGTAGCTCAGCTGACCACAGGGGCATTAATGTGGCTCCCATAATGCAGGTGTGCTGTCTCCCATCCCTCCTCGCCCCAGGTATGCACCAGTATTCAAGGGACCACCACAGTTTTCTAGCGTTTACGTCTTATCTCAAGATATCACAACACTGAAGGGGATCCTCCCAACTCCCCTGGCCTCAAGTGAGCACGACCTTCTATGACCCCCATCTTCGTACCTTTCGAGGGAAACATAATTACAATCACAATCATGACAGCAACTGTCTCCTGAAAGCTTGCTAAGTGCCAGACACTGTTTTAAGAGCTTTTACATATAACATGTGTAATCTTCACAACAACCCTAGCAGTTATGTACAATTATTTTCCCCATTGTACAGACAAGGAAATTAAGGCACAGCTTTAGTCTCTATAGCAATCTGGCTGGTCCAGGGTATAGGAGAAATCCTTAAAAATCTGGCATTGGCCGAGAGACTTCCGATAAGGGGCACAAATTACCCCAAGATAACACTAAAAATCAGCTGGATCTAGAACCTGGATCCCCCAACCCCTAGCCCAGGGTCCTTTCCAACTCTAATCACCGACACCCAGCTGGTCCTTAACATTGAAGCTCCATCAGCTTCTTGTTATCCCGGGCATTCCTGTGGAGGGGAGGCCAACATCTCCTTTGTATGGTCCCATGTGGACGTGCTATGAGATAAGTACGAAAATGACCTTTACCTTCCACAGCTGCTAAATATAAAGCACCCACATGGATAAAAATAGAACACTTGCCAGCCCACGGGTACTGTGATCATCCCCCTTGGCTGCATCCCCATCTCCTGCTAGACCCAGTGTGGGCAAGAAGGAAACAGAGGGCAGCTTGGGAGCTCACAGCTGGTGGGAGTGGCGCCTGTCCACTTCTGACACGTGGATGAGGTTCGCACTGGCTAGACAGGCAGAAGCCTAGTGGACCTCCAGGCTCAGCTCTGCCAACAATCTGCAGATGACAACAGCCAGTCACATAAACTCTTGGCCTCAGTTTCCTCATCCGTTAAATCAAAGCGCTTCATGGTATCTGAAGGTGGTTTCCAAACTATTCTGTAGGCTGTTGGCAGGGCCTTCTCCAGCCGGCAAAGTGGACATACTCAATTTTAAAAACTATGTTGTACCCAGTTTCTGAGGTATGAATGGCCTTCCTTTCACAGGATGACATTCAACGCAGATAGTAGTAGCTGTTTTCAGTGGTGTTATTTAGCAGAGTCAGAAATAAAAAACCCTAGGGTGATCCCTAGATTGAGGTATTTGTAAGGTAAGTCTGGGAACCCTTGCACCCTAGTTCTCCAATGTGGTCTATGGGCGAGCAGCGCCAGCGTGCCCAGCAAGCTGGCTGAAAATGCAGCCTCTCGTCCCCCAACCCCCAGACGTCTTGAATCTGAACCCGGAAGCTAACGAGACTCCCAGGATCCTAACCACATTAAAGACCGAGAAGCACTGAGCAAGGGGATTGATGTGCCTCTTTTAGTCCTGAGAACTTCCTGATTGGAATCCTCCTTCCCAGGCCACTGGTAAGTGATTTGCCTTCAAACACATGAGAGATGAAAACTCAGGAAAGAGGGGGAAAGGGCTGTATTGTTTACAACCCTCAGCGCCAGACCAGAGGCTCAGCATCCCTCTGCTTCTAGGAGGTGGTGGCTGGCAGGGAAAGACAGGATTATTGTCACACTATGCCCTGGGACAGTCTAGGCAGAAAAAAGCGGGGAACGTTTTTAGGATGACTAAACTAAAATTACGGAACTGGAGTAAAGTTATTATTCCCTCAGGAGACTTTGCAATAGTTAAGAAATTGTTTTGTGGGTATTGTTTATGAAGCAATGCAGAGCTGCCAGGTTGGGTAAATGCCAAAGCAATGACAAAAGTGCTTGACCTAAGCCCCATTTGCAATTAGCAATGCAGGGCTGGGCCTGCCAGGCTCTTCTATTCTTCTCGACTTTTCCTGCCCTACCTGCTTAGTGAACATATGGTTTTCCTCTTGAAGGGAGAAACCATTTAATTCCAAAAGACTAATACCATTATTTATATCCTTTTCTGAAGGATGTGTGTCTCAGGCTGCACAATCCTGATTTTTAAATGCAAGGGCAGGACTTGGACAAAAGAGAAAGAACCAAAGGTATTTGCGTAAATAAGGGGAATTCATCTGTTCAAGGAAGAAACCCAAAGGAACTATAGACATTTATTTCTGTGCCCAAAGATGTCTCACTAGGTATCATCAGAGGGACTTGGCAGAAGCAGCTGACATTACACTAGGCATTTCCCAAACACCAAGTTGCCTTGGGAATAAATCCCATTTTTAAAGAAACTGCCTTTCTTTCTGGGAACTAACTTGTTTCTGTTTGACTAAAACTTTTCTTTAAAAATGAGTCATAAAGAAGTTTAGAGAACCAAAATTGTACTTTGTCCTGCATTGTGGACACTTTCTGAGCATGGCAAGCTACTGCCCGTAAGGGCCATGGCTTAGCTGGTGGAGCGCCGGCTCCTGTGTAGTTCAGTGTCGGGGCCGGGACTCTTATCTTCTGAAAAACACAGGTCCATAGGTGACAATTAATATGGTAGCCACGCATAGTGGAAAAAACCCTCAAAACTACTAAAACTACTATTTAGGACTTCAGTGGGAAGATCTGAAGTGAGAGAAAATGTTTTATTCATCTACTTTTCAAATTAGAAGCAGGAAACAGAAAATTCTGTTTAGTATGGAAAACAATTAAAAATAGACTCCAGTTCCATTCTCATCCAAGTTAATGCAGGGGGCGGGGAGGAGAGGAAAGCTGTGAGTTAGGAGAGCAGAGAGGCAAGAGGACAATTCGGTGCTGAGCTTTGAGCTCTGAACAAAATAATCAAACCCCGTCTGTTCTTTGAAATTCAGACTAAAAAGCCCTTTCTACACTGGAACAGCCTGGAAACTTTACAGCTCATGCTGGAAAGGACTTTTGTAAAGGGAAAGTTTATTCCTCTATGGAATTCCAAAAAGGAGAGCTTGGGATTTAGAACCACTGTCTGGAATTTTAAAGCAGAAGGGTCAACATATACAACTGCTCCCTCAAATGCTTTTGTTCACCCAAACCCAAGGCTCCTTCAGAGAAGCAGAAGAACCAACCAGAAGCAGTCAGAGAAGCTACAGAAAACAAGCATGCAAACTCATAGCAGAGCTGCCTGGGGCCACATAGTGTGACAACAAACAGCCACATGAACCTTGTGTCCCCTAAATGGGCCACAGAGTAACAGCCCGGTGCTGGCAAGAATGAAGGGCGGTGAGTAACCAAGAAAAAGTTCAACGGCATCTGTCTTAGAGGTACAAAAACATGTTTTACATTCTAGAAAATTTTCTCTCCCAGTAAGTTTTCTCTTTGAAATCTGGTACTCAAAATCCTGCTTTCTAGAAAACTCATTATGTCAAAGAACTAAATTATTTATGACATTACTTAAAAGATGTATCATTGTGCCTAGATTTTCCAAGCTAAACCTCTAATTAGAAGTCTCATGATGAGAAATTAAGAGACACAAACTTTTCTCTTTCTTTTTTTTTTTGGTGTTACCATCTGAAGAAGACAACCATGAGCACCCAAGGTGTGGGACATGCACTAGCCCAGCTTACTTTTCAGACATCTGACATCACCCCAGTCAGGGACCTCTGTTTGCTGGGATCTATTCTGTGGGTCATGGGAGTGAGTAAGCTGGAGGGGGTGACCTTGGGGAATGATGGCATTTGTGAACATTTCTGTGGAATGACAGAATTCGTGCCCCAGACATCACAGACTAGCTATGTCGATTATTCCAGCGGGCACCGCAATGCTTCTTTACCTCGATTGTGTTGCAAGAGCACAATAGTAGGATTGACAATGGTTGTGGAGGGGTAGGCGGATGATGACTTGCTAACTGGTGTAAAGGCTTGGGAATCAGTTCCAATACGGGAAGAAGAAACTTCATTTAATAAAGGACTGGAACCCTGAAAAGAAAACAAACAATGTAACTAACTGTAAATATATCTAGAATTAATGCTTTTTAAAAAGAAGAAATTTAAAGCTTTACAAAGACCTTAATTACAAAAAGAAATGCAATCAATGGGACACATCATATCATTAATTCCAGTTAGAAGTTTAATCTGGAATTCTTTGCGGGTATTAGTAAAGGGAGAGGGGGGAAGGTGAATGTTACTGAAAGTCTCAGCAACATCATTCATTATCTTCACCTGGTAATAGCTGTTGGTCAATCTGGTTACTGGAAAAGCAAATCCAAATCAAAGTAGAATAACATGCAAAACCCATGCAATTCCAAATGTGATCCAAGAACAAGAGCTGGTTTAACTGGGAAAAATCAGGAAAGTTTAGTATACTGTGTAGAGAAATGTAAGACAATGTTGAGGACAAGAAGACATCGATGTAAGAAAAGGCTAGAGTTAAGTAACGGTTCTCTTGGAAAACTACTCTTAGCATTAGCATCACTGAGCAATTTTACCGATGCCTGCTTCTGAGATTTGGATACTATCCTATCCTACTGTGACCTTTTCTACTCTAATATTAGAGTGACAAAGATCCCTGATATAAAGACTTGTAAGAATCCTGATCTTAAAAACCAAGGTCTCTGCCAGAAACACTAAATAAATGATTACAAACATTATAACCTGCATACTGTGGATAATGCCAGTCTTTATAAACAAATGAAAATATAATCCCAAAATGTAGTAAGGGTATTTAGACAGTTTCCTCCATATCTATACATTTTTAAAAGTTTCTATTTTAGACTTTACAAACCCTAAAGCCAGAAGGGCTTTAAGAACAACATTTTGATAGTTACTCTTGAAGCAATAATCAAAGACTGCACAAACATCTATAGAATGAGGGCCACCCCCTACCCACACCTAGCACAATGTTCTGCAGATAGCAGGTGCTCAGCAAATGAAATGCCACGTGAATGACAGGAACCATCTACCAGCAAAGGTGTGTCTGACCAAATGTCTGTGGCAAGAAAACACATACTCATCAAAAGAGAGGATGTGCGTGTCAGCACCTGGGACAGCGCCTGACACACAGTAGGGCCTTCATAAACACTGCCTAGGTTCCTCTATCTCTTCTGAACGTGCTCTAAATAGCTGCTGCTGTTAGTTACGAGTGGCAGCTCAGTTTAGTGAATAACACCTTTTCCCAAGACTTGAGAAACACAGTATGATCTTGTACAAAAGTGCCTCGTTTTGATTTCTCCATTTATAAAGTGGAAAATAATTACACTTTTCCTAATTTATCTCCAAAGTGATATAATGAATATACATGACATATCATTAAAAACTCTGCCAGAATGCACCCAAGAAACACAAAATATCAGGCATACAGCTCTTTAAGTATAAATGCCTAACGTGATGTTTGGGTGGCTCACGAGCATTAAGCATTTTACAAATTTTACTATGTCTTATTTCTGGAACATCACAAAAACAGCTATTGACTAAAAGAACTTGGATCAATTAACATGGCTTTCATTCTTCTCTCTTAAACTCAAATAGCTGCAGATGGAGCAGGTACCAGCCCTTGGCTGGGACACCACACACAGCGGCTCCTCCTCTTGACAATCTCATTCAGCGGAGGAATCCAAGCAGTTTCCTTTTTCACCTCTTACTTTGTTACTCGGGGACAAACCAGGAGTCATCAGGCCAACCGAAGTCCTTTTGGGAGGCTTACACCAGGCTGATTGGTCAGGTTTGAGAAATTGAAAACACTGACCCAACTAATCTGTCCTGGCACACCTGAAACAAACTCGATATGAAAACCTAGATCTATACAAATGATAAATTATAGGGTATACAACAACACTACTCACAGTGGTATATGAGTGCACTAAATATAAAACTCACTTTACCTGTTACTCTAGAGAAACATTCTGTGCCAAAGGGAAGATGCCTGCACTCCCCCAAATGAGACTGGCTTCTGAATTCTAAGTTCAGTTGGCAGCAGGGGGGATACATCAGGGAACAATCTAGCATTTTTCTCCAACAGGGCTGAGTTGCAAAGCTAGAAGGATATTCAAGCCCATGCACCATGTTTGGCCTATGCCTGACCTAACTACATTGTGCTGCATCTAGAGATTTGAGAAGCCCCAGCCCAAGATGTAGCAGTTCCCAGCTTTGGTGTGCCTGATGCCTCATTATAATTTCTCTAACAAGCCAAATAAAAAGTTTCCTTCCTGCTTTCTACATGACTGGCTTCAGCTTAACAAGCCACTTGGAGCAGTCTTGTAGGCATACCTCCTACAAAAGGATGTCAGTGAACGTGTGGTTCCATCAGCTGATTGTATGACTCACTAGATCACTGTAACTCAACATGTGGTCTGTGAACCCCCCGGCATTCAGAATCCTGGGGTGCTTGCTACCCAGTGAGAGCCCTGGGCCCTTCCCAGACCCACTCGATCAGAAACTCTCGGAGAATAACCTGGAGGTGATCATTTAAACAAGCCTCCCTGACCCCCGGGTGATCCCATGTACACCAGGCTCGAGAACTGATAACCAACCCTAAAAAAACCTTTGAGAGCAGGGAGCCTGACTTGTTTATGGTTGTACCCAAGGTACTGAGCAGAATGCCTCTAACATGGAAGGAACTCAATGATTAACTGTTAATTAACCAGTTACTACTTGTGAGTGACTCTGGCCCCCCATTTGCTAGGGCAGGTCCTCAGCAACACAGCTAACGCTCACTGGGCGCTTTCTCTCCGGGGCCGAGCACCACAACAGGAACTTTTACTACTCAATCCCACTGAACCTCACAGCCCTGTGAGTAGAGCCACGTATCCTCACATTACAACTCACACTGAAGTTCTTTCAGATTCTCTCACTTCCTCAGGGCTCCTGAGGAAAAAGCAGACCCAAGTACTTTGACTCAGCTTTCATCCTAAAGCAGCTGGGCTTTGCCGCCTCTGGAGGGGACCCAGCCCTGCCTCCCCCTAGGATGGGACCTGAGGTGTCGGGGCCCTTTAACTTCCCATGACCACTGGAGCCCTGTTTTGCCACAGAGATTCCCGAGACCTCCTCCTCTGGGGCCCTCGCAATTGTCTGACTTTGGAGGAAACAGTCCTCATGTTTGTGCAGGGCTTTCAGGCCCATTTGCTCAATAAAACCCAACTATCTCTCTTTTTATCGTAGTCTCTGCCATTTCTACCTATGAAAAGAGAGTCTGTTTAGTTACCAAATCAACAAAAGAGTGACTCTTTTCCTCCCCGAGAATCTCCCTGCTCCCTGGTAAATTGTTACGTGGCACCACGCCTGCCACTGGCCTTCCACAGAATTGCTCAGCTCCTAACGCCACATCTGCCTGGCCTGTGAAGAGCTTGACTAGCCAAAGTAAAGGCCACGGATAATGTTTTCTCGGAGGGAAAACAAAGTTCTTTCAGGAAGGTGTGCATTCCCAACAGGACAGAGGAGAAGAGGGACTTGTGAACAGCCGCAAGAGGCCCCGGGGACACACGTGGGAGCATGCACTCTAGTGACAGCAGACATGGTTCTAGTCATCACACAAGCACAGCGCAGCCAACGCTTTCCTCAGACCTTAGTACTTCAGTGAGAAAGGGAGTTCTACTGCTGGGAGTAGACATTCAGGAAAGCCATGGGGAGGGAAGTCCAACAAGCTTACGGTACTTGAAACGGCTCCCGTGGGCTCAGGCTCCGAGACTCTGCGGAGGGCCTCCGGTACGGGAGGGACCAGCGGAGGTGGTGGTGAGAAGGACGGTGGTGTCTGGCTAACGGGGGGAAGGGAGCCAGAAGCACTGGCTGGCTGGCTGTGGTGGGGCCGCCTCTGCAGATGAGGGGGAATGAAATCATCTAGAGTCGGAAAGGTCAGAGGTGAGGCGGCAGGGGCGGTCACCGGGACTGCGGGGACACAGTCAAGCGGCCCCAGAGATGCTGGAGGTCTGGCAGTGCCTTCTTGCCCTCTGTCAGTATTAACCAGGTAGAGAGGGACCACTATTACCTCGGGCTGGGCTGGGCTGGAGGAAGTGGCACCCTGTAGGAAATAAGGGGGGTCGTTACGTAAAGGGGTATGACAGGGAGAAAGGAATTCCATATTTAAATGGTTGAGAGTGGACATGCAGTGATGTACTCTGAGAAATATTTTATCGGTGCCCTTTCCTCAGAGTACATGAGACATGGCGCGAGCCAGCTGGCCTCCTGATACGCTATGACACAGAGGGAGCCCCATCCAACTTCACTTTCCATCCATCTATTTTTGAATCCTTTTAACACTTTGAGAGAGAGAGAGAGAGAGAGAGAGAGACAACAACAGAACAGGCAGGCTGTGTTTAACCCATAAAACCACTGTAGAGCCTGAAAGCTTGGGATAAATACAATTTCTCTGGCACCTGTTATAAAACATAAACACTCCGTATCTTACCATATTACTAGAGTACGGATTCCATTTCCCGGCATACTTACACAGTTACAGAAAGGAGAGAGAGAGACAGAGGCAGAGTGAGCACTGTGCTGAGATGTTCAGAGAGAAGAATTCGGGATTCAAGCCACCGCAGTATTAACGCGGAAAGGGAGGGTAGGGCAGCCCAGCAAACAAACGGGCTGCTCGCGTCAGTTTGGAAAGAGACAGTGTAGAAGACACACAAACATTCCTAATTCCTTGCCTTGGCTGGATAACTCGGCTGCAAAAGGTAAGGTTCTTTGCTCTTCCAGTTTTCGGGATCAGAGGTAACCTGGGGGCCTAGCACAGGTGGTCTCACTGCATCTGGGAACGAAGCCTGAGTCCCCAGGGAAGGACTCTCACCACGGTTAGCGGCATCTTTACAGATGTCAAAGAATAGCTTGGGAGGGTCAGGAGGAGGAGCAAGGGGTGGTTGTCCTGTGCCGGCTGTGCGGGAGACAAGGCTGGGAGCTGGTGCTCGGGTGCCTGCAGCCTCCAAGGGAGTGCCTTTGGCCGGGTCACGTGCAACACGAGAGTTTTCTGACGCCGCCGGGCAAATGTTATTGGATAAACAAGGTACATATAAGCTGCTGACCTTTTTATTCCCAACTGCCTCATGACATGGGTTAGAGCTCACATTCTTACTACCAACTATCCTGGTGGCTGCATAGTGGTGCTGGGGTTGGGATGAAGCACTGGGCAATGTGGAATCCGGAAGCAAGGGACCAGGACACGCTGCACCTTTCGGAGCCGATCCAGCTGCCAGGGGGACAGAGATGGGCTGGGGTCGTGAGGGGTTCTGCTGGCTGGGGGTGCCAGGTGAGATGTAAGGCTTAGGTGAGCTCAGGTAGAGGGAGTCCTTATAGGTACTGTGGCTGGTGGGGGGCTGCCATGCAAAGCGGCCCTCTTTAGGGAGAGGAAGGCGTGGGGGAGAGAGAACCTTTAGCGGTATTTTCAAGACATGGTATCAAAACAGGGAAAAAAAGAAAGAGGAGAAATGGAAAGGACGACCATTAGAAACAGCAGCATAACGTGATCTGAAGAAAAAACAATTCTCGACATGTTTTTAAGCAAATCTTCAGGTCAGACTCCTCGTGGTGCCCATATTTCTCTTCTGGGTAAAGCCAAGGGCTGAATCATACTCACCTGGACAGGCAGCCTGACTCTGCTTTGCGTCCCAGGGAGGCTGAGCCCACAGGAGGCCACATGCTAAGTCAATTTTGACACCAATCCTCGGTTGACTGCGTCTTTATTAGACCGCCTGACTCAAGAAGGGTGCCAAAGGAACAGAATGCCACTCCAAAGCCCCCAATTCCGTCTCAAACCTCCTTTCCTCAAGACTTTTGTCTTTAAATCTTTGGCTTTAAAAGTTTAAGTTCACTGGAACCCCCTTTGAGTGCCTTTCATTCTTTTCCCTTAGGAAAAGAAGAACTTGGAAGAACCATCCCACCCTTATTTGTGTTCACAAGAGACAGATGTCTTAATTGAGTCACTGAGATTTAGCACTCAATTCCATAAGCATAACAAATTAAAGCTCACCAAGAAGAGAATACTAAGGACTTTTGAATATACATGTGCTCTTTTCTCAGAGGAAACAATCTGATGGAACTAATTATTAGAAGGAAGACAGGCATGAGATTAAAAGCACACAGTCTCCCATTTTTGATGCATGCAGAAAAACCAAGCAATGAAGCACTTAACTGGCCCATCGGATTCGACTGTGCCTGGTTTATCAAAATCCAGTTCCAGCCCCATCCCATCCAGCCCACCACCATGCTCAGCCTGAGACTCAGGACTTAAGCCCTAACCTCTGATTACAGGCTCAGAGCTCAAGAGCCATAGCTCACATCTCATTCCTTTTCCCCTCAACAGGTCTTTCCTCCTCGGGTCTTAGTGGGGCAGAGGGTCAGGAAATGGGGTGACTCTCCAGACTTGACCTTCACTTCAATGACAGTCATCTGCCAATGTGGCTCAACTGGGAATTAGACCACAAGATAAGGAGAGTTCATTTTCCCAGAGTTTCTTCACTGGCCCCTATCTTTAAAGATATCCCAGCACTAGAAGAAAACCAGAATCTTCCTCCAAATTGCACAGGTGAGATATATTAGAGTTTGGTAAACATCTGGTAAATGGGTTGTGACCAAAAACTGGGAGGGTACAAAAGTCTGAGTCTATTTTGGGATTGTATTTTATCCATTTTTATATTTGCAGAGTGCAAGTGGCAAGGGGAAGGAATGTTAGAAAGGGTGAATAGGTCAAAAATGTAAAAAGTTTTATGAGTCTGGATTAGAATATCAACCTGGAAACAGTAAATAACCCATCCCTTAAACTCAGTTTTCAAGGTACAAATAAGCAGAATGGAGAAGCAGCTATTTGGGTATCCCAGGTTAACTCACTGTCTGTTCTTTCCACAGGGCGCCCATGATGGTGCCAGTGGAATGTGGACATATGTACCAGCCGCAAAACCAAAGTGAACAGCCCCTCTCCAGCAGTCAGCAGCAGCAAAAGCTTTCAGATGAACACTGGGCTTCAGTGACCTTAGACTGGAGGTTGGGGCATGTTTATAGACTGCATGATGCTCTCTAGAAACAGAACGCCTGGACTAGCATGCCCCAAAGGGACTGCCGGGAGAGCTGACAACAGCTGTATGGAGGTAAGCAAAAGACCATTTTGATTTGGTCTCAGATTTACTTTTACTTTGAGCTCTAAGGTCCCACATGTGATTTCTTCTTGTCCAAAGATAGAAATCAGCTTCAATGAGTTTTTTAACTTAATTTGGCTGTGGCCATATATGGTGCCAAGGCTGCATTACATCAGGCCTGAACCTTCCCAGGGTCTTGACCCCATGGAGAAGACATTCCCCCGAGCATCAACAGCTCACTCAGAGCCAAAGGTCTTCCTGCCCTGGGGCTTCTTTTAGTCCTAAAGCAGCAGGGGGATTGGCACAGTGACTCCACATGGAAGAAACTACTTTTCTTTTTACTGTAAACATTGTAGGAACCATGCATGCAGTTTGCATTCTGCCCAGCTGGCTACTAATGAAATTCCATTTATCTTTTTAGAAGGTGGTCAGAGAAAAAAACGAGGCTTACTGAAAAATCTAGTATGTTTATAGTTTATACAGTTGCAGAAACTACCAATCCCCACCTCCACTGGGCACCACTGTGATGATGATGATGTCAGAGAGAGGAAAGCCCTGGTTTCCTGTTACCGGGGGAGGGGAGAGAGGGCAGCAGGTCCAGGCCAGCAGGACATAGGATTCCCATCTGGGCCACAGGTCTCCTAGATCCCAACTCAGTCCCCAGGAGGAGATGCTAGGCCTGCAGGGGTCTGAGAGCTCTCTTCAGCCAAAATCAAGCCAGGGCAGTCACTAGCCCAGTCCACCCCCACTCTGTCTCAGCCAGTGCGTACTTACCGCCCTGGCAATGGCTACACAGACAAGAAGTCAGGTTTGCATTTGGAAAACAAGTCTAAGAGGTAATGCATGACCTAAAGCTTCTGGAAATTTGGATGGCCAACTTTACACTGAATATGCAGAATAAAAACTCTGTATCAGAATTTACCCAGTTCCCTTTAAGAAGCCCCAGTAAAAAGAAAAAATTGCTGGATGGTGACAGATAAGAAAACGTGCTATTTGCAGAAGATATTACAGGATGCTCGCTGTTATTACAAGGCTCACCCTTATAAACTCCTTGAGGGCAACGTTTAACACAGTGATCTGAACACAACAGAGATACTCAATAAAGTTGTGTTAAATAAATGTATTTTAAAGGAATTTTTATTTACTTCACAGGCTTTTAAAATCATCTCTTTAAAAGAGCTGCTTAAGAAACCAAAAGGAATTACTGAGTTACCCTTTGGACTAAGTCACTGATAGTGGAAAAGGATGTGCTTCTACATTGCATTGAATTAATCAGCACAGAGCTGACTGTATCCATTCCTGGGACGGCTGAGAAGGAAGCGTGTCTGCCACAGGCAGCACATTTCTACACTGGGAAAGGCTTTCGAAATGGGAAAACTATGGCAGGTGGTTCACTGGACAAGGGACCACCCCAGTCTCTGTGTCTACGGAGAACAGAGGAGGACTTCAGGAGGCCATGCACATTTGCAGCTCCTGGTTCTAACCAGTGGCCCTGGATGCACACGGCTGTACTTAGCGAGGAAAGTCATGGCAGGTGGCAGAAAGGCTTAAGGGGGCAGCTCAGTGCACAAGGCAAACACCTAAGTGACAAACTCCAAGCCTGGGAAGATAGGAGCCTATGGAGAGGAAGGAAAACATCGTCTCTGAGTCAGTTTCATTTCAGGGGCCAATGCGATTTTATGTCCTCGGGAGCAAGTGCCAGAGGATTGTTGAAGAAGGGGGTGGGAACTAGCAAGGAACTGCGGAATTTCTGGACTCCTTCTGAGTTCTGGGAGCACCTTCACAGAAGGAAGGCACAAGGAAGTGGACCACATAAGGAACACATTTCTGCAAGAGTTTTTGAGCAGCACAGCTTCCTTTAAGAGAAAGGACTGCTCCATCCCACAGATGTGGCTCCTCTGTGTAAAAACACTCTTCTCAGATCACCTGAATTAAAACAGGGTCTATTCCTTTCATCCAAATGGCAAAGTAGCAACAGGGAGGAGAAGGACGAAAGATCAGGAAAATCACCTAGGGGAAAAGACTTAGGCACAATTATCCTTATTCCAACTTGCACAGCTTTGGCGGGTTTTCTTTTGCAGGGCAGAGCTGGGTGGTTTAAGCAGCGCTGAACTGCCATTTTGACTTCTATCTGCCTGTTCCTGGGCTGCTGGATTTAGAGTCTGGCTATAGCGACCTGATCATAATCTGTAAGGATACAGTTGCTGGAACTCTTACAGCCCCAACTCCAGAAAATAACTGGAATAAACACAAGATGCACTTTTCTCTTGAATATTACACTCTAAAGAGTTTTTTCTTTAAAAACAAGCTCAGACTTTTTTCTTATTTATTCAAGGCTAAATGCATTCCCTCTTTCAGAACATTTCCACATGCATATCAAACCCAGAAAACACTGGGGCCTATTTCTAATGCCCTGTTAGACCAAACCCATTCCAAGCTTTAGCTCTGCTTGACCTCAACTTTCCTCCTAACTCTGGTCCTTGCAGAGCTTTTCCAGAGCTGCCAAAAGTTTGAAATCTATTCCATTATCCAGCTGGGCAAGCAAAAGTCCCAAGTCTAAGCTAAAAGACTCAAGAACAGGTACCACCCACCAGTCCCCACCCTGCCCCCGGGCACATGCCTACCTGGGGCTTGTCGGAAGGAAGGTTGGGATGCACACTTCTGTAGCCCTTGGCAGCCAGTGAAGAGGGCTGGGCATTTCCATTGGCATCAGCATTGGAAGAAAGCCTCCACTCATCTGAGAAATAGGGGGGAAAAAAACCTCTCACTCACAGGGAATGCTCCTGGTTCCCCTCTAGTTCAGGGGTGCCTGGTGCAAGGCCGGGACAGTAAGAATGCAAGAGAAACCATACCTGTTGGGGAAGGCTCTGGCTCCAGACCTATGTGTGGTGAAGAAAGGATGAAAACAAGAAGAAAAAGGGGGGAAAACAGAAATGGTTACATTTGCAGGAAACAAGCATGAACTGCACAGAAGGATGAAAATCCAGCACCCTGTTGTCTGACACAAAATGCCCTCAGTCACGATGGCCTGATTACCATAGGAACCCACTCTAAACCATGATGTGCTCACAGGCGCTGACCTTTGAAAACACAAGGCTCACATTCACAGGAATGAAGAAACAATTGTTCCTTGACATTCTTATTTTACAGACAAAAAGGCAACAGAACTCTCTGCTGTCCAGTCCCTACTCCCTAGCTCTCATTCCCCTTCCTCGAGCCTGCTGTGGGCTCAGAATGACCGCTCCTCATTAGCAGGCTGGGCTAACTAACAGGCCCGGGAGAGAGCGACGTGGATAAACACTTCTTCCAGGGGTGGTGGTGCTATACTAGAGGGACAATATGACTTAAGCCCAGAGGTATCTGCTGTGTTAAGGATTTTTCTTCCTGCCTGCCTTTCTCTTTCCATTAAACAAGCCACATAAACATTTCACAATCGAATCCCCCTTCCTGAGTGTTCATCGCACTACAAGGCACCCCTTGTTCTCCCTTTAGACTTGCCAGCCACGGCCCGATGCACTTCAGAGACCCGAAGCCTCTCCTAATTTGACCCACGTAGCACCACGAGGCAGCAGAGCAGTGCGTACTAGCTCGGCGGGGAAGGCAGCTGGGCCTCAATTCAAATCCTGGCTCCACCACCTATGGGTTCTATGACCCTGGGCGAGTTGTCAAACTCAGTTTGCTCATCTGAAAAACGGGGATAATGATACTCCTGCTTCGTAAGTGTTGTTATAAGAACTGTCTCTACTCTCTTTCCTCTATCCAGCCCAGGGGTCCGCAAACTTTTCTGTAAAGGACCAGAGAGCAAATATTTTCGGTTTTGTGGGGCATGTGGTCTCAGCCGCAGCTATTCAACTTGACCACTGTAGCACAAAAGCAGCCACAGACCACATGTAAATGAATAAGTGTGTCTGTGCTCCAATAAACCTTTATTTACGGACACTAAAATTTGAATTTCATATAATTTTCATGTGGCATACAATATCATTCTTCTTTTTATTTTTCTTTCAACCATTTAAAAATGTGAAAACCATTCTTAGCTCAAGGGCTGTTCAGAAACAGGCATGGGCCAGATTTCGCTCAGAGCCACAGTTTGCCAACCCCTGATCTGGCCGGTCCTTTAACTTCCTTCTTCTCCTCTGCTGCCTCACTTATCTCACTGTGTACAGACAAAGAGGGGACAAGTACCGCAGCACTCGCAGTCCAAGCCTCCGTTCTCCACGTGGGTCGCTCAGGGACTAGAGATGGGCTTTCCAGATGTCAAGTGGAGATTTAAGAACATTTACTAAACACTTCTGTAAATGCCAGGCACTGTTAGTCACTGTCACACCGATTTCGTATTTAATCAAGTGTACACCACAACTCTCTGAGGTAGGTGATCACTCTACTTCATGGATGAGAAAACAGAGAGGCTATATGACTTGCCTAAAGTCACACAGCCAGGAAGTGACAAAACAGTCAGCCCAGGTCTCCAGAATTCAAGTGCCGTGCCCTGCCAGCCAGCCACAGCCACCAACCACACCAACAGCCACAAAGTGGGAAGCTACGCTCCAGGGAGGCGGTGGGAGCCAAAGGAGTCAGAGCAAAAGGCAAGCAGGGGTAACGGCTCTGAGTGGCTTGCGTCCATGTACGGCAGCGGCACAGCTGCGCCCGAATCGCTGGGAGGGCTTGTTGAACCATCACCAGGACCGGTGCCTGGTGTTTCCAACTCAGCAGGAGAGATGTGCAGCCTGAGAATCTGCATCTCTGACACGTTCCCAGTAATGCTGAGGCTGCTGGTCCACGGCGCACACTCTGAGAACCACTGATGGAAGGTATACTCAAAAACATCCTCACTCTGGAAAACTAACTGTATTCATTGTTTCTCATTTTCTCCCCTCTAAAATGGTTTCTTAGACATATATTCTTTCAGCAGGTTGCCTGTTACATTTCTGCCACTCCCTTATGGACGACTGACAGCTACCTGTCTTCTCCCCCACACAGGACCACACACAGTCAGCCCTCCATATCCTCGGGTTCCACATCTGCATTCAGCCAACTACGGATCGAAAATATTTGGGAAAAAAATACCACAATTAAAAAATACAATTTAAAAAAATATATAGTATAATATTTACATAGCATTTACATTGTGTTAGGTATTATAAGTAATCTAGAAATGGATTAAAGTATACGGGAGCATGTGTGTAGGTTATATGCATTTTATATAAGGGACTTGAGCATCTGTGGATTTTGGTATCTGTGGGGGTCCTGGAACCAATCCCTGGCAGATATCAAGGGATGACAGTAGTTGGGAAATTTACAGGACTTGTGTTTTGCTCATATTATTGCAATGTACTGGCTTGTGTGACCAGGGGCAAGTTCATTAACCACAATAAATTTTACTTTCTCATCTATAAAATATAATCCTTACCCCATATAATTCTCACAGGGTTGCTAAGGAATCAGAGATCAGGTATATACAAGTATCTCTAAAAGTGGCCATATTTAATACCCATTGTGGCATCCATCCAGATTCCTGGCCCAGAGATACCCTTGCAGCTGGCAAGCTCTCAAACACTAGGTGACACATGGTGACAATGGTCCTCCTCCTCCCTCACATCTATCACTTTTACTGTCCTATCTTCTTCTTTTTTTTTTTTTTTTTGGAACAGAGTCTCACTCTGTTGCCTGGACTGAAGTACAGTGGCATCCTCAAACTCCTGGGCTCAAGCGATCCTCCTGCCTCCGTCTTCCAAGTAGCTAGGACTACAGGCGTGCGCCACTATGCCCAGATAATTTTTCTAATTTTTGTAGAGACAGAGTCTTGCTCTTGCTCAGGATGGTCTCAAACTCCTGGCCTCAGGCATTCCTCCTGCCTCAGCCTCCCAGAGTACTAGGATTACAGGTGTGAGCCACACCGTGCCTGGCCTCCATATTCTTTAAGTTGCTATTTCTAGTCTGTCTTTGTCAAATCCTTCCACCAAATTTACTAGATTTATACAAACACTAAATATCAACTGGTTCTGAGTGCAGGGCTATTTAATAAAGGATGTAAACTTCATACATGGATTTGGGGACATATTCTTTTGCCCACTTTTTGGTTCTCAGTTGGGTTGGTTCTATTCAGGTGGCATTGGCAAAGAGATGTCATGGAAGGTTGGGATGTGACTGTCCTTCCAAATCTCTGGATTTCATAAAGAGACTGTTAGTTTGGCCTCAGATTGCCTAGCTTGAGCCCTGATTCTCTATCTTGTTAACTGTACATCCTGCAAATGACCTACCCTCATCTGCGAAATGGAGATAACATCTACCTCTTTTGAGTCATGAGAACTAAATGAAAGTATCTCGCATAAAGTATGTGCTTTGCGAAATCAGAATCCAAAGCATAAGGAAAAAACTTCCCATAGACATATATTAGAGTTGCTAATGTTTGCCATTTGATAAATAGCTTCAAGAACATAATATCCTTGAGGACAGATCCACTTTTTCTTCTCTTTCCAAGTCTTTAAAACTGTTCCCCTTACCCTGCCCATGAAAGGCAGTTCCCAGGAGCTGTTTAAGTCTTCCTCTCTTCCTTATTCAGGGAGAAATGTATTTCTGACATTTCACCATCCCTTATCTGTTACCTCCTCTTCTGAACCTGGAAGGCTGTAGCAGCCCAGAGTCATTTGGGCCTGAGTGTAGCAGAATGAAATCTTATGTGCATAATGATCCATTATCAACTCCGGGTTGAAGAGACTGTCAAAATGCTTCTTTCAATAAATGTTACCTTAGAGCTCCTGAGGTCAGGGGAGGGCCTTGGAAAGTCGGATGCTAGAGAGCTTTTGCAGCCCTGAAGAGACCTAACCTTTCTGTAAGAAGTATAACTTACTTTGCTTTATCTTTTCCTCCCTCTGTTCTTTATATGCAATCTTTTCTAGCCCGTGGCAGTAGCCTCCTGATATTTTCTTTTGTCTCATTCTGTGCTAATTGCATTTTGGCCTGTTGTTAAGTTTTTGGGTTTTCTCCCCCTTTATTAGAGACAGGGTCTCGCTATGTTGCCCAGGCTGAAGTGCAATGGCTATTCACAGGTGCAATCATAGTGCAACCTCGAACTCCTGGGCTCAAGTGATCCTTCTGCCTCAGCCTCCTCAGTAGCTGGCACTATAGGTGTGCACCACCAAGCTTGGCTAAAGTTTTTTTGCCGATCAGTTCTTCTTGGGATCTTAGGCTAACTTTGAGCTAGTCTTGGTGTGTTCTAGTATTCAAGAGGTCGATGACAGGGGTTAAAATTGGATCTACCAATCTTATTTGTGTTTATTTTGTATTTATGCTATATAGTAGAGAATTTTACTCTTCCCTAAAAGAGGTCTGGCCTTTGCCCTCAGCATCTGGGAAGTAATCTCTAAGTCCTTGGGGTGTCATGCTTGACAGGAATGTCTTCATTTATCTGGGGGCTTTGAGCCATCAGGCGCTGACCTCCTGGAGGACTGGACACTGAAATCTGCCACATGGGCAGTGGATCATGCCTACAGAATGGAGCCCCAATAAAAAGTCTGGACACAGGCCAGGCGCGGTGGCTCACGCCTGTAATCCTAGCTCTCTGGGAGGCCGAGGCGGGCAGATTGTTTGAGCTCAGGAGTTCGAGACCAGCCTGAGCAAGAGCGAGACCCCATCTCTACTAAAAATAGAAAGAAATTAATCGGACAACTAAAAATACCTAGAAAAAATTAGCCGGGCACGGTGGCACATGCCTGTAGTCCCAGCTGCTTGGGAGGCTGAGGCAGGAGGATCGCTTGAGCCCAGGAGTTTGAGGTTGCTGTGAGCTAGGCTGACGCCACAGCACTCTAGCCGGGGGAACACAGTGAGACTCTGTCTCAAAAAAAAAAAAAAAAAGTCTGGACACAAAGGCTCAGGTCAAGTTCCTGGCTGGCAATACTCCGAGCACACTGTCACACATCGACACTGGGAAATAACAGGCCCTGACTCCACGGGAGAGGGCAAGAGAAGCTCCACATTTGGTATTTCCCCAGACTCCACCCTATGCGCATCTCCTCTTGGCTGATTTTAATCTCTATCCTTTCCCTGTAATAAACCATAGCCATGTGTGTGACAGCTTTCAGTGAGCTGTGTGAGTCCTTCCAGCATATTATCGAACCCGAGAGTGGTTCGGCAAATCCCCTGAACTTGCAGATGGTGTCGGAAGGGAGGCTGCTCTCGTGGGGGCCTTTCCCTCCAACTTCTCAGTTGGCCCCAATTCTCACACACACTCATGGGTAGGAGATACCTTTAACTGCTTCAATGTCAATTTTCTTATAGTATCTTTTTGCTACTGTCATTTCTGGGGAGAAAATCTGAGAGTCAAACCAGAGGAAATGATTTGCCTGTAGGTCCAACAATCTTTACATCCAAAGCTAACTTTGCAGTCAGGAATCAGGCAGTAAGGACTGGAGCCAACTGACACAGAATTACCAAAATGTCAGGGCTGAACTGAACCTTGGTGTCTGAGTCTGAACACAGGAAGTGATGTATCAAGCCACACAGTCTTCAGGCTATACCAGACAGGAAATTGGGTATCACACCTACCACCAGCTCAGGCTCCCTGTCTCCTCTTGAGCAAAAGACCCTTGGCCTGGGACATGGGTGGATTCACTCTGAACCAAATGGCCAACACCCAGACCTGGCTGGCAACGAGATCAGGAAGCAGTACTATGATTACTACCATTCTTTTTGGATGGTTTGATCTAAACACCAAGGTCCACATTCGGAGATGAGGAGGCTGATCGGGAAAGCTATGGTCAGGGATCTTGAGTCAAGCTGTCACTTGAATGCGGGATTTTGGAGAGTGGGCTTTAACTGGGAAACTCCAAGGGTTCCAACTGTCACTGCACCCAGAGAACTTCTCCATCCTCCCAAGGTTCCCCTGGATGTGGATGGCTCCCAAATCCACACTTGGACTCCAAATTTCCAAATGCCCATTAGGAACTTTCTCCTAGAGGCCCTTCCCTTGCCAAGAAACTCAACATGTTAAAAATGGAATTCAACATTCCTTTCAACCTCCTTCACAAATCCCCCCATCTCCGTGAGTGCCACAAGTATTCTCCTAGCCAACCAAGAAAGACACCTCCCGGTCAGCATGGAGCCCTGCCTCTCCATGGTCCTTTATTACGCTGCATCGAGCCCTGTCATTTCTTCCGTCCTCCTAAGGACACTTTCACCCTCGGCCCCTGTTCTGCATTCCCACTAGGCCAAGGCCCTTCTTGCTTCAAACTGAAATTATTTCATATCTTTAACAGGCCTCCTGACCTACAGTAACTAGAATAGTTACCACTAAAGAGCACTTGCTTTGGGCCTGTGCTAAATGCTTGCTATGAAAGAGCTCATTTAATCTCAACTCTATCACAATCATCCCCATTTTACAGATGAGGCAACTGAAGCCCCCTAAGGTTGAGTACCTTGCCCACATCACAAAGATAGCAAGTGGCAGAGCTTAGCCTCAAAAGAGGGCTGCACAACTCCATAACTATGCCCTCTCTCCCAGGACAGAGGAGTTGGAGCAAGGACTGGAAATGGGGAATACCTCTGAAATGCGGGCGTCACGGGGTCATATAAGGACTAGAGCTTCCAGTTGAGGCAAATAATCAGCAACTTGGCAACCTGCATGGATTTAAGAAAGTGGAAAAGCCAGGGAGCTAGGCAGAGAGGGCGTAGACAGAGCTGCTAGGGGACAGATGCTGGCCCTTGTGATAAGGAGGGAGCCAGCTGCCACCTGGCATCAGCTATCTGAAAAGGCACAGGGAGTAAGAAGCACATCCAAGGCTTGACAAGAGCCACTCGCTGCCTCCCGGTGAGGCTCCCAGTCCAGGCTGAATATGGCTGTCTGCAAATGCTGCTGAAGACTGTTTTCATGAGGCTGGTCAAGGGTCAGGGGCTCCTAGGCCCCAGGACAGGACTGGAGACTGGTGTGGGCCAGCAAGTCGTCACCCAGAGGTCACAAAGAGGCAGTAGGCAGGGATGGGAGGAAGGCTGGGAGCCACATGGGCACCACCAGAGTCAGGAGCCAGCAGGATGCTGGCCAACGTGCAGTATGGTCAGAGGACAAGATCGCCATTCCTGAGTGTCCCACGGCCACGCTCTCCAGTGCTAACTCATTATTCCTTTTCACCCAAACTGTCCCAGCGTACTATCTTAAATTTATCCCCAGGCAAAGGGATTCTATTTGTGTCAGGTTAATTTCCAAACTTCCTAAGGTCATGGAGCATTCTGGAACAAGAAAGGCTTAGAAAGTATCTTGCCTAAGTCCCTCATACTTTGTACGGGCTTCAAAGTGACTGTGACTGACCCACAGTCAGAGAGCAAGGTAGCATCTACGAACCCACGCCTGACTCTTCTGTTGCAACAAACAGCCTTTGGCCCTCACCAAATGCATCCAGAATTATTCTCTTTTCCTCCCTTCCCCTATTGCTCATCACAGTTCCCAGTGACTTAGCACCTGGCACACAGATGATGCTGAATGAATGTATGCTCATTGGATTCAAGGATCTCACCTTACCAGGAGGAAAATACTAAGCTTAATTTACAGTAAGGTATGAATGACTGATAGCTTTCCCTTAATTCTTCCAAGTACAGTATTTGCATTTTAAAACAGTCCGGTAATGATTTGGTGAAATCTCTTTTCACCAAAATTCTTTGGTAGAGATATGTAAGATACAGAATTATTCTGAGACAAGAGAGCACATCCAAAAGTGCCTCAAATCCACAGCGGGTGCTGGTAGCACAAGCCTGTACTTGGTGAGGAGCCGCATTTGTGCTCTATGTTAGTACCACACTGTGGCCACTAGAGGGGGTCCAAGGCCCCCTCTCCTCCCAACTAGAAGATGGGCTGGGCTGGTTCATGAGGTCATTTTACTGAGCTGTGGTGCTGAAGGTAAGGCCTTTGTCTTTAGACCATCCCTTAGGTTTCTTTCTTCCCCAAGTGTCCCCCCGCTTGGAGCTGGGTCTTCCCATTTAGGCTTAGAGAGGCGGGATTAGGCTAGCCTTAGAAAGAAATAACTTTATTTCTCTCCTTGCCCCTGCCTTTCCTGGAGAAGAGAGAAGCAACTGCAGCAGGGCAGGAGCCAGGGCAGGCTCTCAGGACCAGCAAGGTACTCTGTTCACGTTAGCGCTGTAGGCTGCTCAGGCCTTTCCTCAGCCTAAGGATAAAGAAGCCCTCCCCAGGGACCAACATTACCAGAAAGGGGCCTGTGCTCAAACCTTAGCCTGGCCTCACTCCCAGACATCTCCCTGGGCACCTGTTACAGGTGGCTGGGACAGGAAGAAAGTCAGTCTCCATGACGCTGGACACGGTCCGTCTCCACCCTATACAATCCCATCTTAACACACCGGAAGGGTCTGCATGCCATACACGTCCTTTCCTCTCTCGTCCCAAGGGACTGGTCATCCCCGCCGTTCAATTTCTCCCTCCAATTCCTTCAGGAAAGAAAGAAAATTCCCATCCCCTATAGCAGCAGCTCTCAGATGTGGTCCTTGGACCAGCACCATCAGCATGACCTGAGAACTTGTCAGGAACGTAAAACAGACCCACAAGCGGAAACCATACATTCTAAAGCTCTGGGCTGGGGCCCAGCGACCTTTTTACTCCAGGTGATTCCGATGAGGCTGAAGTGTGAGAACCAACTTTCCTACAGAGTGGAGAGGGGCTGTCCCACCCTAAACTCACTGTGCCTGTGCAACCTCCAAGTCGGCATTTCCCAGCTCCCAGAATACTTGGGCTATGGAAAGCCCTCTCCAGAGAGGCCCAAATAATCCTAATCTAGTATCAGCAGCTAACATCTAACAGTTTATTTCATGCCACCAGGCACGGTACAAAACACTTCACATACTTCTTCCTCATAATAATCCTGTGAGGCAGGTCCAATTATCAACCCCATTCTACAGATGAGATCATTAGGGTTGAGAGAGTGAATAACTCATCCAAGGTTGCATAGACAACAGGTGGTGGAGGCAGGATGTGAACACAGATCTATCAGGTTCCAAAGCCCCAGTTCTAAACCTCAACATTCAGGTTCCCCAAGTTATGGATCAGGGAGTGGAGGTAGCTTGACAGGGCTTCTTTGATCTCTCTTCGCTCCTCTTTTGCACTGGCCTTAGAACTCCACATCCTGCTCCCTCAGCTAGCTGGTCCCCACCCAGGCCTGAGCCCTGCCCACCTCTGCTTTCCTAGAAGCAAGGTCATTCAGCCACCTGCACTCCTCAGTCTCACCTGGCTGCTTCTTCAGCCAGGCCTGCCTCAACAGGTCACAGCCGAACTCTTGGAATAGGGAATGAGATCTGAGAAGCCCGACCTCTAGCCCATCTCACCACATACCACCCCCGCCAGGCCCCTGAGCCGGTTCTGTCTGCACAAACGCAATCTGCAGAGCACTGGCTCTTGTAACAGGACTATCTGCTCAGTCAAAGCTAAAATGAAGTGGTGGTCACTGCTGTGCCTTCACCTGAAGCACGTGACTACCTGTCAGTTCAGGGCTTTGACCACTACCCCTCACAGAAGGGACATGGAGCTGCCTGTCCAAGAGACCCCTGAGAGAATCAGGAGGCAGCTAATGCATTCACACACACCCTCCTCAGCAAAAGCATGAGGGCCCCCCCTTCCCATGTGGCTCTGAACATCTCCCCCAGTCTAAGGGGAAGCGCACCTGGTTTGCTCTCGTGTTGTGGGGTTTCCTGCGGGCTCACAGGGGCACTGCTCGGGATCTCCTTGTAGGAAGATGAGGCCCGGAGAGTCACCGCTCCCTTCCCAGTGCAGATTTTTGAAGGATCCATGTCTGAAAAGAAAAGACCCAAAAGAGAAAACTGAACCCAAGACTCTAGAAGGATTAAAGCGACAGTCAGTTAGCAAATTGGCAGAGCTGGGGAATGAGATGAACCTGGTTACAGCCACGCAAAGTCTTCAGGCGCTGGCAGTCAATGAACATTAATCTGTGGGTGGGGCGGAGGGACGAATCACATTTTCAGGGGTTTACGCTGCATCATGAAGTTAGGGGGAAATGGGGGCAATGGTGAGTTCTGAGTAAATGTATGAGTTAGAGTATCAGCCAAAAACATTTCAGAATGAAAGCAGGTTCACTCCTTTTATTAAATGAAGTTTAGGATGGTGAGCAGACTTCTGGCCAATTAGTAAGCCACAGTTCAAGGAAGAGTTTATGGAAGATTTCCCAAGCTTCCAGATCATCCCTCTTATAAAAGAGTCGGGTGGTAAATAGGGAGTTAATGGGTGCTCCATGGAGAATCATTGCTCCTCGCAGTTTTCCAATGGGAAAGGGCCAAGTAAATCTCCTTCGATTAGCAAGTCAGGACCCCCAAAACGATGAGACAGAAGGATAGACCACCTGGCGAGAAAGCTCAGAGCGAGAGCCTCACGTTCCAAATGTAACAAAGAACACACAGCAACAAAAACAGCTAGAATGGCTTCGCCCTTCAACGAACAGTGTCCACTGAGCCCCGGGTCCTTACCCCTCCCTACGGTTTCACGAGGGCCCAATAACAGACCCAGGTCACCTCTGAGAGTTCCCTTGAGAAGAATTTCCAAATATGCTTCACTTGATGCCCATCCTCCAGGAAAATCAGTAACAGGAGGCAGGAAACTGGTGCAGACCACACAATTCTACGAGGCGCACGTGTCGAGTGTTTCTTTCTTTGTGCACAGCTGAGCTAAGCTGAACTCCATGGTTTGTTTTTTGGTTTGGTTTTTTTTTTTTTTTTTTGGTCCAATTGCTCACAGCCTGCATCCCTGACCTAAAATTGTCACGATTAGGATTACGGGCTAAAGTCCGGGGTATGTGTTCGGGCAGAATGTGGGCTCAGATGTCCAACTCATCCCCATCCCTGTGCGAGGGCACAGAGAGGCAAAGCCTGCTCAGTCCTTGCTTCCCACTGCAGCCTCCTGTCCAGCAACTCAGGCAGAACAATCACCAGTGTCAGAGAACAGATCTGCCCGTCAGCACCTCTCCACTGAAAGCGAAGCACAAAACCCACAATGTCCAGCAGGGCTGGCAGTAGCCTTGGAGAGTGTCTGACCTGTCCAACTCTATCAAGAAGCTAAGTGACTGATGTCACAAAACTATTGGGAAAACTGGTTCATGATCATTTCAAAAGGATGAGGGGGCAAACTGACAGATCCAGTCCATCCATAGGTTCCTGGACACACAGCCAGATTTGCCCAACTTCTGGAAGTGACACTGGGTAAAGTACCGCCCAGGCCTCACGTGTCCCACTTTGTACAGAAGGACGCTGTGAGCCAGAGCTGACATCCGAACTGTAGAGAGGCAGGAAGTGACTGCACGTAAAGTCAGGGAGGGGCGGGGATGCTCTGGAACTGGCCCAGGGAACATCACAGAGGAGAGTCTAAGTTTGGCTTCTAAGGCAGCTGCCTCATTCACAGGGAATATAAGGCAGAGGTGCCCTGTGCCAGGTTAATTCTCAGGGAAACTGGAGTTTTAACTAAAGTATGGGAGTTGGAAACCTCTAGGAAGAGCCTAAGAAGTCCACGCAGCTCGGACCCATCCAGAGTGAATGTTTTGGCCTCTGCACGGACGCGTCTCCGAAAGAAGGGAGCGGCAAGGCTTCTGTCCTCGGTTCTTCCCCACACTCGCTGACTCCCAGACACACACACACACACACACACGCGCACACGCACACAGAGGAAGAAAGGAAACCAAGTGAGAAAGTGAGAGGGAATGCCTCCTAAACATGCAAGGATTAAGCCTCAAAGTATGTGTTAGAAGGAAAGAAAGGAAAACCATGCGTGATCTGCTAATCATTTTAAAAGAAACCAACCCAAGGAGAGATACCTGTAGGTAGGACTAAGCCTGCAGCGTTTTTCACTGTCTTCACAGGAATTATTTTAACAGCAGAAATAGAGCGTGCACGTAAAGGGTCGGCAGTTGCTGAAAACACAAAAGGGTAAATGGTGCATCCAGAAAGAACATTTGGGAAACACTCAGGCAGTTGAGGAACTGGGCAGGGACAATAGGAGGAAGTCGCCCACACAAAAATAACAATACAAAGAGCAGTAGATGCAGTAATTAAAAATAACCTGCTTTCTCTCTTTAGAGTTCTAGGCCAAGACAGCAGACCCCTCCCTCCAACCATCACCCCGATACAGTTGGTCAGTGTTCGTCGGTGCCTCCTGCCACACCAGGAGCTTGCCAAGGCTCTGGACAAAGAGATTTGCAGAGACACAGATGGCCTGGCAAAGAGAGGACGGGGAGAGCAGTCAGGGTCCAGGTCCCTCAGGAGAACGCTGCGGGGAGGACTCCGAGGAGGGACGCTACAGCCAGGAGGCTCCAGATGAGTGCAGGAAGGAAAGGAACAAGTTCGTGACTCACCTGGTCCCTTCAGCCATCACAGCTGCTTCCCCTAAATCATAACTTCTGGAGTCCTGTGCCCACTCTAACAATCACGGGCCTCTGGCCCCAAGCAAATCAGAACCCTCATCTGTTAGACAGCAGATGGTCTTGCTTAAACCCACCCTTTCCTGGGCAAGAAGTGCCAAGTGTCCAAGTGCAGGCATAAGACTCTGGGCAGCACCCAAGCGCGCAGTCCAGGATCCTGACATCCAGCTGAGCCAAGGCAAAGCAGGGCCACGTCCTGGGTGCTCATGCTTCTCTATCTGCAGGACCCCTGGGCTCCCTGCCTACCTGGATTCTGCAATCTCAACAGTGGCCACATCCCCAAACCCTGGCTTCTCACAGCCAGTCTGTTATGAGGCCCCTCGCCCTCTCTCTTAACGGCAGCACAGAGAGATGGGAGGGTGCCAAAGTCGCTCCAATGAGTGACATCCAGAGGTCTCGTGGCCCCAGATCCACAGAATCACGAAGGGGTAGGGCTGTTTGGGAACAAGACTGTCACTGCATAATCAGCATCATGCTGGCGAGCCCGTCAAGGGGACAGGCGGGAGGGCGGGAGGCACCTCTGCGGTGGACAGTGCACCTTCCAGTCCCTCAGGCTGCCACTTCGCAAGGCACGTGACAGTCGCACGGCATCTGGTCATCAACTGGTAAGTTGAGAATGATGATACTGTGTGTGTTAAGATACGAATGCGTTTTCACCGCAATCCTACTGACTGCTCCTTAGGACCACTCAGGGAAGGGCGGAGTGGAGATTTTTGGTACTGTTTTCAGAGGAAGAAGTGAGAGGCTCAGGGCCATGCTCAGGGCACTCAGTTCTCACATGGAGAGGCTGAGATTGGAGCTCGGCTGTCCTGGCTCCTGGTTCAGTGACCTGCCAGGCCACCCTGATGACCTTTAGGTTACACCTGCCCCTTGTTTCCAAAGGTGGGTCTCACAGAGGACAGGGTGGGACACGTCTCCTCCTGCCACCCTCCCCCCAACTCCCTAAGTCTCTTGTGTAAATGAATTCACAGGAATGGGGTCTATGGCCCCGCAGGTCTTACACGCATCAGGGCCCCCACTTCGCGTGCTCCTCACTGGCCACTCAACACTCCCCGTGGCCACTCCACAGATGCCAGTCCTCAGTGTTCCCTAAGTGCAACTTAGCCTGGATTGTCCAAGACCCCAAGAACGCAGCAGACACAGCCCCACTGTGAGTGCAGGCAGGCAGACGACAACACAACGGCAGCAGGACCCCTCCTGCCTCCGAGGAACCCACCCCCACACCTGGGCCCCGATTCCCCACCTGCTCCCGCTCTCTAGGCTTCCCTCCCCAGCTGGTTTGTTCTCAGTTCACACTTTGCCTTGTCTCAAAAGAAAAACCGGCTGAACCAGATGGAAATTACAAAGGCCAAAATGCCAAAGGCTGTGAAATTATTCTTTGAGAAATGGTGGATTTTGACTTAAATGTCCAATAGCAGGATCTTTGTCCTTCCTCTTTGATACCATAAAGTTCAGTCAGACAAGCACTCAAATTCCAGTTTTGAAGATCATCACATTTCCTCATTTTGTAGATAAGGGAACTCACACCCACAAAGATAAAGGACCTCCCAAGACATTCGTGAGTGGCAGAGCCGGGACTGGAACCCGCGCCTGCCCACTGTGCCGTGAGTGCCCCGTCACACCACACTGCCAAGCAGCACCAGGGCCCTGCTGCCAGGCTACCGGGGAGGCCACGCTGAGGTCAGGATGAAAGTCTCCAGGGCAAGTGAGACCCAAAGGTCATCTTATCCATTTCACATTTAAATCTTTCACTCTAAAATTCTTTAAAAACTGAAAATATGAAAGGATGTACATGAAACTAATGCCACCGAGATCATTTATCTTAATGATTTAGGCTCTTGCCTCAGGGTCAGGACTGTGAACGTGTAACTGTTTATTACAGGTGAAGGTGAGATGCTGGGTAAGGGATATTTCAGCCTGATAAATGCCATGTGTACCAGGCAAGACGTATGCCTTGGTCCGTGTGTTTGATCTGCCCTTCACAGCATTCTTGTGAGCTAGAGACAGTTTTTAATGCATCACCTCACAGTGGGAAAACGGCAGCCTCAGACCCAGGAGATGCAACAGGCTCAGATCTCGGAACGTCAGCGTGGGGAGCAAGTGTCCAGTTCACAGCCTGGTCAGGCCAATGATGCTCCCACCAGGCAGGTCGCATAGCCCCAGCCCAACATGCTCTGCACCTTCTAGAAATGCCTTCCAGCACCCAGCCAGGCTTCTGTCCAAGAGCCTTACCTTTGTCTTGCCCATCACTGCCGGGGGCCAAGCCATTCACCACGGCTTTGGAAGCACCGACATCACATTCTGAAAGAAAGAAAAGAGCACGAGGCTTGCGATTTTGCCACCCTAGCATTTAACGAGTTCTGCTTGGTATGAAGTGCTGCGGACAGAGTCGAGAGACAGCAGAGGGGTCCCTGCCCTCAAAGACCCTGGAGTGGTTCCATCCATCTTCCCCCACACATTCTGGGGGCTTCCTCAGCACTGGTTGGGCTTCCTAGGGTGTCGTGGGGGAGTTCTGGAAACACTGCGTGGCCTGAGAGGACGACAGAGCTGCTTGGAGATGGAAGTGTGTGACAGGTGACATAAATTCTCTTGCATCCTTGCTATGTCTTCCTTCCTGCCATTTAAAAAGTCTGCTTAACTCCCTCAAAATGGCATCTCCCTCCTGACCAAGGCCAGCTCAGATGCATCCCTGTGCACCCAGCTGCCATCTGTCAGACAACCAGGACAGAAGCCTCAGGCTCCTGGATGCTGCCCTTCAGCCCACCCTACGCCCCACCTGTCAAAGTCACGCTGTCCCACCCGCGAAGTGTCCTTAGTCACACCCCGTCTCCCCAACCCGGTTCAGGTGCTCATGCTACTGTCCAGGGATGACGCGGCTTCCTGACCGCTCCCCTTGCCTCCTTTCCGCCCCTCCTCTAACCCGAGCCTCAGTCTGCATCCCAAGAGCACTCTCTAGACCCTGACCTCACCACAGCCCTCCCAGGGTTAAAAAGCCCCACAGTGCAGGACAGAGGGAAAGAAAATGGGATTCTGCAATGTGATTTTCTAAAACTTATTTACTTTAAATACACTATATTTCACCTCTGTTTTGAAGATAAAAATTTGGGACTTTATTCTGGCAGTTCAATCATTCAGAATATTATTTCCGTGGGGGAAAAACATTCCATGTTTCCAAAGGTGAACAAACGATTGTTTGGAATATAATTTTTTATTAAATAGGATGATCTGTATCTTAGCATGCCTGGTTATATTTAAATGAATAAATTGACATTCTTGATAATTAAAAACCAACCAATCAACCTGCATGCCCTAGAGGCCACCAGCTACCTAGAGGGCAAAGCCTGAGCAACTCACCCTAGATTCAAGGCCTTCCCACCGCCAGGACCAGCCCGTTCCAGCTGCATGTCCTGCTTCCCCCTGCCTGCCATGCTGGCTTCAACACTTTGGGCATGTCAGATACTTTCAGACCTCAAGGCCTTGGTTCCTACGAGGCCCTTACCAAGAATGCCTTCTCCCCTCTTCTTACCTTGCAGAAATGCTGTGCGTTCTTGAGACTCCCCTCAGATGTCCCCTCCTCTGTGTCACCTGGGACTTTCCTGAGTTCAGCTCAGCCACAGACACTGAAAGCCTCCCACCTGCAGCCTAATCCCCACCCAGTTCTCCATCCCAAAATAGCAGGAGGCAGGCCAGGGAAGACAGGCGGGCAGGCCCAGTCACCCCAGGACATGTGGCCAACATGCTTGGAGGGACCCCCAACAGCCAAGCACCAGCCAAACTACAAACATAATCATAACTAGCTATGAGTTTTATTTGCTTATTTTTTTTTTTTTTTGATACTAGTCAAGTGCAGGAGTGAGAAGAGGGGAAAGAACACAACAAGGAGTTCAGTCTGTAACTGACTATGAACAACTGATTGAGATAACTCACTACCTTCGGACCACCCTAGCTATGGTTTTTTAAACACTGATTTGCCTGGATCTCAGGATCCATGTATAGCAGTCTGTAACTGGCATCTCATTTTATCCTTAAGACCCAACCCCTGGAGCTAGGAGTTAGGAACTCCTATTGTATAGATAAGAAAATCGAGGCTCAGAGAGGATGCTAGACCCACCCAAGATCACTTGGCTGGGATTTGAACTCTGGTCTGCACCATTTCACAGTTCATCTTCTTTCTCCCCAGTGAGATAATCATTTTGGTTTCCTGATTTACATATAACCTGTTTCCCCAGACACTGGGACTAAAGCCCAGTCCTAAACCCCAGTATCTCATTAGGTTGAGATGAAGTCACCCTACCTAGGCCCTTAACAACGAGCCTCCTAAAGGGGTAGTCACCCTCTACACTGACAGGCCAGCCCGGATGCTGCCCAAGGCCGCTTCCCTTCCCTTGGGTGGCCTGGACTTTCCCAATGCTGGCCCCATAGTCTGTGTGTCCTGCTAATTGCCCCACATCTACCTATGGATGGAGGCTAATTCTCCTAGCTGTCAGTGTCTCCCTCAAACTTTCATTTCTGGGATGGGTAGAAGGAGGCTGTTGGCAAGAAGGCGAGAAATACAAGTTAAAGAAACAGCACACATTCCACCACCCATTTTTCTTTCTTGAACTATCCCCTCCCCGTGCACCTGCTCTAGCTCCTCCTAGGAATTCAGGCCATGCCTCAGGCGTCCCCAAGCTAGAACTGGGGCAGCCTCTGAACTACCTTCAGCCCAGTCCCATGTTCTTCCTTTGCTTTTTTATTTTTCTTTTAATTAAATGTTAACCAAACTTGAAGAAATTTTAGAAAAGTGTTTAAAAATCAATAATTTCATCACCTTAAACCCAAACCTCTGCAGCATAAGGTGTTGGTGTCCAACAGCCAAATTTGACTCAACAACACTAGCTGGGTGATCCCAGACAAACTGCTAACCCCTCAGGGCCTCAGTTTCCCCAGCTATATAATGGGAGGGTGTTAAACCATGCCCACCATTGGGGATTTGCCATGAGAATAAACAAGATCATGCAGGTAAATCATTTCCCTTGATGCCTGGCAGCCAAGCCCAAATTTGGAATAAAAAGAACACACTGTTTTCATGCTCTTTCCATCAAAGGTTAAAACAAGTATTTTCCACGTAGCTACTTTCTCCCTAATGATCATTTTTAATAGTGGCATAATATTCCATCAAGTAAATACACACAATATACTTACTTATTCCCCACCTTCATGTGGGTGATGTTTTTTGTTTCCTTCTTTTAAATCAAGATAGAAATTCCTAAGAGTGGGATTATCAGGTCAAAGGGTGTAGAGTTTTTGGACTCTTTCTAGGCAATGCCTCCTTCCAGCACCCCACCTGCAGGAGAGATCTCGGGGAGAAGTCCCCAGGGCATTTCCACTCCCTCACCCTCCTTCTTGGCCCTTCCTTTCCTCCCTCTCTGGCCTTTATTAATGCCAAGAGTAGCAACGCCAGTTTAGATTGGAAGAGCGGAAAACTTCAAGCTGCAGAGCGAAAGTTATTTTTAAAAGCCATGGACTGTTTTAGAGGACAAGAAAAGTAAAAATCCAAACAGACAACAAAACATGAGTTACAAAGTGGGAGCTACTGGCAGCACCCAGGTCCACTTGGAGCGGGGAAAAAAGGTGCACATCCTCTTCACATACAGCAAAAGCACTCAAGGAATCAGGAACAAGCCAAGGCCCTCTCTTTGCAAGGAGGAATCTGAGCTGATACCAGTAAGAACCCACGATGGAGCCCTTGCTCCACTGTGTCCGTGCCTTAGACACAGTGCTCAGCACTTTAAAAGCACTGCCTCACTTAATCCTCACAAAGTCCCAAGGAACTGGTGCTTTTAGTATGTCCATTTTGCAGAAGAGAATGCAGAGAAGGGTCCACCACAGGTTCAAGGCCACAGTCAATACATGATGAGGCCAGGGTGTGGCCCTGAGCTGTTCTACCCTGGAACCCTTCTAGGACCTAACCACAAACTATCCTTCCTAGGACTTGACCAAAAGGGCACCATATGTAAATAAATGGAAAAAGCTTGTTTTCAATCCATATAACTCATGAAATAGTGCAGGATTAAGAGACCCCTGAATGAGATATCCAAATGGTCATTCCCCACCCCAGCCTGCCCCTCCTGCAGGGCTCTGGGAGGCTCCAGGGCATGCTCAGTGGCCAAGATGGGCCTTAATCTCCAGATGGAAACTTTTCTGTTTCCAGTTCTGGGCTGGACAGCTGACAGCTCTCGGTTACACGATGAGCAGGGATCTGTTCCCATCTCTGTCTTCCCCTGGCCCGTGTTTTCTACCCCAGTTGAAACCTAAAAATACTCAAAACTAGGTATTTGTTTAGGTCTTGCTTTTTTACTACTAAAGGCAAAGCAAAAGAGTGAGCAAACTGCTCTACCAGCCCAGATGAGGGAAGATTAGACAAGCTCACTCCCTGGGGCAATTATGGTCAATCTGTTTACTTTTGCTGCAGTCACTTGGATTAAGAAACACCACTGAGGTGTATACATATGTCAAAATTTATCAGATTGTATACTTAACATATCTGCAGTGTGTATGCCAATTATATCTCAATAAAGGGAAAAGGGGCTATTAAAAAGATTAGGACATGGTGCATGTAAAGTGTACAGCACACATAGTAGGCACTCAAAAAATCATTAACAATGAAGGTGATGATGGTGATGAAGATGATTTATGACGAAGCTTTGGCCCTCGCCCAGGTCTCAAAAAATAAAAAATAAAATATTGCTGGAGCCTTCAGCATACGTGGAAAATCTGGGTAAACTGCCCAGTTCTGTAGATTTGACAAGAGAAGGGCAGGGTTTGAAATCACTTACCAGAGCTCATGGTGGCAGCAAGGACAAGTCTTCTGAAATTGGGGCTCTGAACTGCTCTGCAGAAAAACAAAGACCACACAACGGAATCAATGAATGGTAGGTCTAAGATAAATCCCTATGGTTAGTATTAAAAATGCAAACACTGTAACCCTTGATGAAACAGAGTCATGTACATGACCTTGGGCACTTCACTCGACCTCCTTGGTCTTAGTTTTGTCACCCATACTTGATTTAGATGTTATCCAAAATCTCTTCCAGCTCTAACTTTCTATTTAACATTAAAGACTTCAAGTTACATGAGTGCACATGGTTCAAGAAGGAGGCAAAGGAAAGGAAAAAAACACATTTAGGAGAAAGGTAAAATTATAACACAAACCACATTATCAGAAGTCAATAATAATAGGGAATGCTTACATATATAATAGCTTACTATGCACAAGGCAATGTTCTAAATGCTTTAAATATATTAATATTAATGCATTTGATCCTCTCAACAACCCTGCGGTAAGCACCAACATCATGGTAGTTTGCACAAATGAAAAAACCGAGGCACAGCGAGGTGAAGCAGCTTGGCTATCATGGTGGAGGAGTTGATACTGGAACCCAGACAACTCCCAGGCCCAAGCTCCAAGCACCCCACTCTACCTCCTGCAGTGAGAACCAATCACTGGTGTTCAAATGGATAACCTCTTGATTTAGTAAGCATCTCAAATCAAAGAAAGCTTAAATTATACTGGCAATGCCCTAATATACATCCAAAAGATCTCTTTTTTTTTTGAGACAGAATCTCGCTTTGTTGCCCGGGCTAGAGTGAGTGCCGTGGCGTCAGCCTAGCTCACAGCAACCTCAAACTCCTGGGCTCAAGCGATCCTACTGCCTCAGCCTCCCGAGCAGCTGGGACTACAGGCATGCGCCACGATGCCTGGCTAATTTTTTCTATATATTTTTAGTTGTTTTGGTTTTCAGATAATTTCTTTCTATTTTTTTTTTTTTTTTTAGTAGAGACGGGGTCCCGGTCTTGCTCAGGCTGGTCTCGAACTCCTGACCTTGAGCGATCCACCCACCTCGGTCTCCCAGAGTGCTAGGATTACAGACGTGAGCCACCGCGCCCGGCCTAAAAGATCTTTCTTGAGTTATAATTTGCATACAACCAAATGTATCCATTTTAATTGTACAATTTGATGACTTTTGACAAATATATATGTCCTATAACACAAGTACAATGTACAGCATTTCCATCACCCCAAAAAGTTCCCTCATGCTCTCAAAAAAAGTTCCCTTGTACCTCTCTATCATCATGTACCATTCCAAGACACTGTTAACCACTGATCTGCTTTCTATTACTATAGTTTTACCTTTTCTTTTATTTTGTATAAATGGTATCATAGTATATGTAATCTTTGTGCCTGGCTTCTCTCATTCAGAATAACACTTTTGAAAAGTAACTGGCTATATATGTGTGGGTCAATTTCTGGACTCTATTTTGTTCTGTTGAGCTGTCTTTATCTAATAACTATCTTGATTACTGTAGCTTTCTGTAGTCTTGAAATCAGGTGGTGTGTCTTCCAACTTGATTATTTTTAAAAATTGTTTTTGCTATTTTAGGTCCTTTGCATTTTCATGTAAAGTTTAAGGCCATCTTATCAATTTCTACCAAAAAAAAAGTCTGTTGGAATTCTGATTGAGATCATGCTATTGAATCTATAGATCTGGGGAAAATAGTTTAATAATACTGAGTCTTCCAATTCATGAATATGGCCTATCTCTCCCTTTATCCAGGCCTTCTTTAATTTCTCTCAGCAATGTTTTATAGTTTTCAAAGCATATACTTTGAATAGCAAGGTCTTACTGAATACACCTGAAAATCACACAATCCGAAAAACAAGTTCTCAGGATATGTAGAGCCTTGATATTTAAAGTGTGGTCCACAGACCAGAAGCACTGGCATTAGCTGGCAGGTTATTAAAAATGCAGAAAACTCAGATTCCACCCTACATCTACTGAATCAGAATCTGCATTTTAACAAGATCCCAGATGCTCCATTCGCACTTTAAAACATGAGGAGCAATGAAATAGAGAAAATTCCTGGTTCATGAACTCTGTAATAGGGATGTCAAGATATAGTATGAGGGTCTGCATAAGGAGACATGCTTTAGTTTCCTTTTTTAAGAAGCTTAAGTTGGGCGCTGGTTTCCTTTCTGGCTGGTTGCTTTGCTTACTGTCCTTGGAACTGACAGAGTAGAATGCTAGGGGCAAAAAGAAAATCGTTCTAAGTCCTTCTCTGGCGCCCAAATCAGCAGTAAGTTTGACTTTGTCACTGTCATGTACACCTGAGACTACCCATGACCTTCAATAGTGCCCCCAGATTGTTCTCTAAGCTGTCGAGACATTTGTTCCTTTAGTCAAGGAACATGCACCCTGCTGTTATCTATTAATATATGTCCTGGTGTTTTCCAGTCCTAGTTTTTTGGTACCTCAGTTTGCCTCCCAGGACCAAAAGGGCTGTTGTGATATCATCCAAATGTTTTTATTTTATAAATAATTTTCATGATCAATTTTATTATGTTAAAGTTTTATTTATGCAATTTTTAAAGCATGATTGAAGAAAGCTTCTAAATTCAACTGTGAAGTTACCTTAACATAAACTATTTTTATTCCTTTACAATCTTTTCTAAACTTCAAATTCATAAACAGCATGCACACAGTTGTAAATATAATATCTGGGTAGCTTTGTGTTCTAATTTTTAAATTAAGTATTTCATGAATATTCTTCTGGGTTTCTACACAGTTAGCATATCCATCATTTTAACAGTTGTATAATATTTCATTACAATAACATTCCATAATCCATTTACTAATTCCCTCTGTATAGGTTAGTTTAATTCGTCTTAATGTTAAAAATAAGCACAAAGCACATAGCATCTTAGGCTGGGGAAAAAATGAATGGAGATGTCTTATGAACTAAATAAAGGATGATTAATTCACACGTGATGAGTAATCACTGTCATATGTAGGTAGCCCTTTGCACATTTTATACTTTTTAATATAGAAGCTACTAGCTTTCAGTGTCAGCCCCACTCTTACTTACAAACTGACCTGAAGTAGACATGGTTAGGGGATAATACTTAAGATATTTAATCATCATTTTGCCACAGATGATCACTAACCAGAGTCGATGCCAGTTGTGGCACACTCTGGGAGGCCCCTCCCTGTACCTGGTATTAACCATTTAGTGGCTGGACAGAAAGAAGGTGGAAAGAGAATGGATCCAGGGTGGTGAGAAACTATTTCAATATTTCAAGAACTAGTATGACAATAGCAGGTGACAATGACAATGTATAGGTGCATACCAGCTCTGCAGATGGGACTTTTTGGGTAGTAGGTTCTAATATGTGCTCTCACTTAGTGATTGTTTGAATCTGTAGCAGGTGATGCAAAGAAGCAGGGGGCAGTTGAAAATAAAATTAAAACTTCAGCAAGGACAGCAGTGTCCAGTCCTCACCAGTGATGGCAACAGCAGCAACATCCTATCCAGACTATTCCAGGGCCTGATTCTGGCTCTGATTCCAGCCAACTCAGCCTCCTGGAATTCCTGCCCCAGTTCTGAGTGCAGTTCTCCAGCCTTCCATAAACTCCATGAACTGCCCAAGATTTTGCCAGTAAATCCCTTTTTGGTTTGAACTCACCAGAGCCGGTTTCTGGTTATTTGCATTCCAAGAACCTTGGCCAGTAGAGGATAGGAGGGAGGAGTCCTAAAAGTTTCATTTGAAGAGGAGAATATTCATTCCTCTCTCCCAAGGTGAGGCTGGCCAGATCTAAATCCCAAATGGCTCAGCAATAATTTTTTCTTTACAACCTGAAGAGCTCAGAGGCCGGGCAGCAAGGATACGTCCAGGACACCACACAAACTGAGCCTGACCAGAAAAACGCTGAAAGCTTTGAAAATCATAATCTAGTCCCTGCTGTTTATAGGCTATGACAATCAGATGTAGAACTTGAAAGTTTATTTTACATAAAAACCTCTGACACTTAAAATTTATTTTAAAACTAAGCTATAAAGAGCTTGATTTGGTTGAGTACATGATAGCATGTCTTTGGAATGTCTCCCACAAGTCCCTCCAAAGGAGCCAGGCACCTCTGAATAAAAGCCAAAAAGATGGACAGTGCTGTCTAGTGGCAATTTCAGACAACTGCAAGTGGGCAGTTACTCCCTTAGTGGGTTATAGGAACCAATACAGTGTCACAGCTTGGTTGGGCCAGTGTGGGTCAAGCTGCCATTCCTCACCTTGGGCTTTTGGGACCTACCGTACTTGGTCAACACACCACAGCATCAACACAGACATTCCACTAGAAGAACAAGACGTGAAGGAGCCAGAGTTGTTAAGAATTCGGGTAATTAATGGTTCTGCACGGTCCCTTCCTAATTCCATGACCCTATAATTCTAAGATAAATTTTGATGACACAAGACTGAATAATTACTAAAAATCAAAAGTTACTTTCATGTTCCCAGCTGAAATAGGGTCAAATAACTAAATATGGGTTGTTTACTAGGGGAGGAAAGAAGGTCCTTATATGGATAGTTTGTGGATCCATGACTAGTGAGAAGTTGAATTTGTCTTTAAAAATGAATTCAAGGTCCAGCAAAGGTTCTTGGAAGAGAATGAGCCTTTGGCTAAACCTCCCACACAGCATGCTCCAGCTTCTCCTATGCACTGTGGGGTTTTGCCTCCATAGCTCCCTTGTCCTCAATACCAGATTGTAAATTTCTGGAAAGGAAGGGCTGTATCATCATCAGCACTGAGCAGCACTTAACGCCATTGTTGCTGCTTAAAAGGAAGTCAGCTGAACACTTGGACAGAATACTGGTTATATTCTAGCTTTAAAATCCAACCTGGGACTTGATTTTATATATTTGCAGCTACTTCCAGTGGGCTTGAAAAGAATAGAGGCAGCACACAAAGCCCCAGAATAAATGGTTGGCCTTATTTCTTTGTACTTTGCTGATCCACTAGCAGAGCCACGTTTCTCCAATTTTCAACAGTTCCTTCTCTTCTC